CTGCCAACTCTTTCCCACAGCATTTGCTGTGTCCACTTCTCACTTCATGTTTATCCTATAGTACATTACACAGTTAGTTAAATATTCGAGCATAGGAACTACCAAGTGGTCAGTAAGGTCATTAAGGAGTATGAACCCTGTTTCATAAGCCTTCTAATGTTCAACAGTGGCTAGTACACAGAAGGAGCAGTGTCAAAATATCTAAGAATTGGCCTGCAAAAGAAGAATATTTCTTGCCCCCCGTAAGACAGGTGTCTTGTCTTGGAATATGAATGGTGTACAGAGGATTACTTTACTTCAATTGTCAGTATAAAATTGTCATTGGAGAAGAACTAAGCTAAGAACTGAAATCTGAGACCTCCCAGTGTTGCCCTGTGTTTAGCTCCCATCCTTATCACATATTGGCGATAATCCCAACTATTTATGGCCTCCAGTGTCTACCAGAGGAGTGAAAAGAGGGATAAAGGTGAAATGCATTACCTTAAATGATTTTTACATGCATAATTTTATTTGGTCAGCCCTATAATACACTACCCTACACACTTGTTGGCTCCCTTATCTTTCACTATACCTGCCCTGCTTATTTTCAGAGATGTATGATCCCCACCATTCACATTCTCTGCTCTGGAGGACCAAACCGTATAACTGATTCTACTATCTCCTTTACTGAAAAGGTACACAACTATCATGTTATATAAACTCCAATGAGCTCTGAAGCACTGCAACTTTTTTCTTCATCTGATTTCTATCATACTCCAGTAGCTATTCCTAACCTCTTCTCCCCTCAAGCCCTCTTCACACATAATCTTTCCCTTTCTCATCAGATGACATGAACTAGCTTTAGTGAGGCAATCAAAAACTGCACATGGGATAGCTAGGTGGTTCAGTAGATTGAGCTTAAGGTTTGGAGTCAAGACCTGAGTTCAGATCCAACCTCAGACACTTACTAGCTGTATGTCCCTGGGCAAGTCACTTAGCCCTGTTTGCCTCAGTTTCCTCATCTGTAAAATGATCTAGAGAAGGAAATAGCAAACCACTCCAGTATCTTTACCAAGAAAACCCTAAATGGAATCATGAAGAATCAGACATGACTGAAAAATCACTGAACAAAAAATCATGAACTCCCCATACCTAATCCTATACACCTCAAGCACTTTTATTTTCAATCATCTCTTTATTCTTTCCTCTTTTTCTTTCTTTCTTTCTTTTGTTTTTCCATCCATTTTTCTATTTCTCTTTTCTTTCTTCTTTCTTTTCTTCCTTCCTTCTGTCTTTGTCTGTGTTCTCTTTTTGTCTCTGTGTCTTTCTTTCTCTGTATCTCTCTGTTTCTGTCTACCTCTCCTCTCTGTCTCTCTTTGTGACTCTGCCTCTTTCAACCACTTGATTGAAATTATTCTTGCAAAGGTTCCTATACCCTCTTAATTGCCATATCATAGATATTTAGGATCATAGATTTGAAGCCAGAATAGACTTCAGAGATAATATAGCTAATAAATACTTGAGACTGGATATAAACTCAATGATGAGTTTTCCTGATTTCAAGCCTAGTGCTCTATCCACTGAGCCACCTAGTTTTTTAACAAAGTTTGAAAATCAACTAGACTAGAACAATGTGTAGTACAAGATGGTGGTTATGTTGAATTTTAATAAGAAATACATAAATACATTTAAATGTAAGCAATTAAACTTTTTATTTTTTAAAGTTTAACATTTATACTTCTGAAGTTATGGAAGATTAAAATCCACTAGGACTTTTGGCACACCCTGCATATACTCTTTATCTTGGTATTTAAAGGCTTTCACAACTTGGCTTCAACGTATCTTTCTCAATTTATACACACTAACTCTCCCCTCAAAAAAACTCACATGTCCTAAGTTCCAGATAAATCGAACAGCTTGCTATTCCCTGATCTCATCCTGACATCTCCTGGCTCAGTACATTCATGAAGGCTTTCTTCCATGGGTGAAACCTACTTCTTCTATCTCTCCACCTATTAAAATCCTTCTTTTCCTAAAAGATCAATCTCCTCTATTAAGTCTTCCCTGATTATCCCTAACTAAATGATCTACTCCTCTTCAAATTTCCTCATGGAACTTTGGCTGAATTTCCTTCAGCATTTTCACGCTCTACATTTTGCCATATTTTTGTTTATGTTATATCCCCCCTTATTAGATTGTAAACTCTGTGAACAGGAACTATATTTTGTTGTTGTTGTTGTTACCATTTTACCTTTGAATTCCCAGTGCTAAGTATAGAGTTTTGTATATACTAAGTACTAAAGAAAAGTACTAAATCGAATTATGCACCCTCATGAATTGAGTAAAATGTATATTTCTTCCTTAACAGGGTGAATTGGACTCATGATGGATTGTTAGAGGCTTATTGACTTCTCCATTCCTTGGCATAAATAACAACTATAGAGCAAAATATTGTGTCATATTTGATTTAGTAAAGAATATATTTCTACCCAGATGTTTTTCTTTCCTTAATATTTTAAACCATCGTTTCATGGAAGTATATACAAACTTTGCTACAGAAAATGGTTCATGTACTCTATGAGATTAATACAAGTTTGAGAGTGAAAGTTTGTAATATTTTACTAGCTAACCCTTAGGAAGGGCTCTATCTAGAGTAAATATAGTGCTATTATAGAGAGCTTCCAATATATTATCTTCTTTTTGTATTTTTCAAGTATACTATCACATACACATATGGGTTACAGCACAACTGAGTCACAGAAAAGTAAATTATTTCTCCATTTGCAATCCTGCATACTATGCACATGTTTATATGACAACACCCAAAATGGCATGGATTTTGCAGTAAGGAAATTATCATAACTACAATGCATGGGTAAATAGGATTCTTTTTAGTCTAGCACTGAACTATACTTCTCTGGGATACAAAGATGGAAAGGATTTGGGGGAGCTATGGACTTAATCTGTAGGCCTGCTGAGGACATGGTAGATGCATGAAATTAATCTGTGGGTCAGTGATACACAGATATTTGGTACATAAAACATTTGACAGCAAGTTAGACCAAGGGAAGCCCAAGTATTCATCCCTAAAATGAAACAGCAGTCTACAATTTTAATAAAATGTTCTTCCCCATGGTTTTCTGGATGACCATAGAGCAAATGGTACGAAATACAGAAATAGAAAAGAATCATCTTTAGGCAGGTATGATTTTGGTTTTTTATTTGTATTTATGGGGGTGGTGATGATAGATGTTTTAGATTAAATGTCATATATGCTTTTTTGGTATTAATCAAGCCTTGGAAACATGGCAGACTGGAAATATGAAGCATATTTTTAACTTTAATTTTGCCATTAACTTTCTAGCAGACCCCTGATAAAATCTTTAAGAAGCAGAACTTGTAATTGGCAAATTTTGTTGGTAGAATTTATCTTCAGTACTTCTACAATTCTTATGCCCTTCCTTTCTGCTGCAGTGCCCCTACTAGATGCCCAATGTCCACTCCCCCTTCTTCCTTGGCCATATAATAAAATATTCACACCAAAGTGTAAATATTGGCTAACAGTCTTCCCAGGAGTGTTGGCATTTTAACAAAGGACAAAGGTAATATGGAACTTCAGGAATCAGCAGAATTACCTGGGGAGAAATATTTGTAGGAGCAGGAACCCCTCCCTAGTACTCCTGTACAAACTGCAGAATTTCAAGAGGCCTCAGAGATAATCTAGCTCAACATATAGGTGACTAAGAATTTCCCATACATATACATAATTCCTTCAAATGCTTTGTGCAGAATCCTTGCAGTAAATATATGATAGCATTACTTAAGCTTAAGCATTGTTGCATTGTAGCTTAATTTGGGTGGCTGCTTCTACTATGTGACAAACCTTTCCTGATTCCCTCTCCCCTTACCAGATGCTAGCAGCTTCATCAACTAGTGATCAACATGTCACTGTTGACTCTACCTGCTCATGAGGTCAATCATGATTATGAGGATAGAGAATTAGAATTAATGTTGATAAATCCACCTGGAATAATGCATAAATCCATGAAAAGAATACCCTGCCGGCATGCTGAATTCCTAAGAGTCACAAAGGAAACAGGGAATCATTCTACAAAAGACCTTGCTCCTAGGCACATACCATTAATGCTATTTGATGAAGATGAAAAAAATTCTATCAAAGACAATCAGCACTTCTGTTTTAAGCAACAATTCTAGGCTATAATACGTACAATGAAAGAGTAAAGGGAACTGTGAGAATAACTGTAGAAAGTTAGAGTATTTGTGGCAGCCTAAAATAATACATGTACAAGGTGTCAACACTCTAAGAGACAGACTTGTGAGACTGAAAATACCACAGAAGTCATACTTAAAACAAACAAATGAACAAATAATAAACTTTAGTACCCATCAATGCAGTTACTTCCGCAATGGTACAGAGCACAAAGCATCCATAATTTCTCATCCTATACATTGCTCTTATAAATCTTCCTTAGAGAAACCACCTCACCTCTAGGTCTTTTAACCCAAGTATTACAAACTTGGGCTCTCCAACTTTTTATCCCTTTCTCTCTCCACTCAAAAGGTCTACCCCTTTTGCGGACCATGGACTTCCTAGAGAATATCTTAGGTATCATTTCTTCCATATGAGTCATTGCTAGCAATGTGCTACAGTTTAAGAGGAATTATCCAATTAACACCTGTCATAATAGGCATATTGGCAAATATACAGCATTCATCCTTCCATAAGCAACTAATAAATGCCTGTTGGTCTAAAACTTTGGGATATTCAGTTGTACATATATGTAACTTCCCAATGAAGTGTTCTCTATTCAAATACATGAACGACAAGGACACATAGAGGGTAAGTGGCATATTATACAAGGATGACATCTGGAAGTGAAACTGAATATTTCCCATTTTCAGTTCTGTGCAGTATTTACTAGTAGCAACCCTTTCCCCCATGGGCTATACTGGAACTACAGCCTATTGCTAATGTGAGATTTATGCACTCATTTACTTACTTGTGATACCAGTTCACTTTCATTTCCTCTGTAAAATATTTCATGAAACACTGCAGCCTTATCCCTTCTGGAGTACAGAGTATCTTTAATGGAGAAGCAGATGTGCCTGCAGAAAAGAACACATATTTAGACCTGGGGAAAAGAATATGAGCAGTGAAAACATTTGTGTTAGGGCCAGATTTTTCGACTGTGACACTCCAAAATTCTCATTCACAAAACAAATGGGGATTCTTGCATATTTTAAGGTTCATTCCAAAGAACATATGCATTCTTCTATGTTCAAATAAAATTCATTCATTTAGTCATTCAACAAGTGTTTACCATGTACCTCTGAGATACATGAATAACCCTGTTCTATGCATTGAAGTGTATCACAGGACCATATAATTAACAAATTGAAGAATTTCAAGGGACCTAAGATAATCTAGCTCAACACATAGGTGACTAAGAATTTCCCATACAATATCACCAGTAACAGAGCCTTTGTTTACATCTAGGAAGGGCAAAACCACTACCTCCTAAGGTGGTATGTTCCACTTTGGAATTATTCAAATAGTTAGCAAGATTTTCCTTCTATCAATCCCTTTTCCACAAGTAAGCCCTTCAAACACTTGAAAGTTATTCTACATTATCATGTCCCCTCAGAATCTTCTGTTCTTCATGTTAAATATGCTTAATTCCTTCAAATGTTTTGTGCAGAATCCTTGTAGCAAATATAAGATAGCATTTTTAAAATTTACTCATTGCATTAAATCTTAATTTGGTTAGCAGCTTCTATGATATGATAAACCTTTCCTGATGCCCTCTCCACCCACCAGATGCTAGTAGCTTCATCAAAATATTGCCTTGCACTTATTTTTATTTATATTTGCTTATATACATAATATAAATATACAAATATCTTTATTGATATACTCATAGATACATGGTATTGTTGTTAAGTCATTTTTCAGTCATATCTGACTCTTCATGACCCCATTTGGAATTTTCTTGGCAAAGATATTAGAGTGGTTTGCCATTTCCTTCTCCAGCTCATTTTATAGATGGGGAACTGAGGCAAACCAGGTTAAGTGACTTGCCCAGGGTCACACAGCTAGTAAGTTTCTGAGGCCAGATTTGAACTCAGGAAAATTAGTCTTCCTAACTTTAGGCACTCCATCCATTGTTCCACCTAAGCTGTCCCACTAATAGATATATACAAGTTGTTTCCTCCAGTAAAATATAACTTCTTTGAAAGCAAGTACCATTTAATTTTTGTCTTTGTATTTCCACCAACCTCGCACAGTACCTGGGACATAGCAGGCACTTAACAAAAACTTGTTGATATTTTCATTGTTTCAAGGGGCAAATGAAGTGGTTCAGAGGACTTGGGCTTGAATTCTAACCTTGCCTGACATGACTCTGCTTCATACTATTTTTCTGCCCAACTACACTTACATTTCCCAAATTCATCTCAACCCTTTCCTGCCTCTCTGTATCGGCTTACAATGTTTTTATTTCAGCTCTTCATTTGCTTCCCCAAATAAGTGAAAATATCCTGAAGGTCAGGGATCATGATCTATTCATATTTGTATCTCCCAATACAGAGAATTGTTCTTTACTCATCGTAAGCATTAGATAATTATTTTGACTTGAACTGGTGAAACTTGAGCTCAACTTTCATGGATGGGTGAAGTTTAGACAGTCAGAGAAGATGAAGGTGGCATTATAAGCACTAACAATGAGATGATGAAAGACAAGAAGATGGGAATATGCATGGTATGTTTGGAAGACAATGAGTTCATTTTGGGAAGTAATAGGAAATGAGGCGGAAGAGCCAAACAGTGGAGATACTAAAACTCCAGGCTGAGTTTGTACTTCATTCCCTAGGCAATAGGGAAATGAATTCTAGTTATAGCATGCAATAGAGATCAAAGCAAGTAGAGAGTTGTTAGAAAATTATGACAATTGTTTAAATGTGAGGTGACAAGTGCCTGAATTGGAGCTGTAGCTATAGGAATGGAAATAAAGTGACAGAAGGGAGGGATATGTTCAGAGATCCTGGATTAACTATTTACTACATGTGTGATTTGGGGGAGGTTAGTCATTTGACTTTGCTAAGCTATGACTTCCTCATATATAAAGTGAGGGTGAAAAGGTAAGTTTAAATGATCTCTAAATTCCCTCACAGTTCTAAATCCTATGATCACATAAAGAATCAAAAGGATTTAGTACCTGAGTCAATATAGGGAAGGTACAAAGAATGAGAAAGAAGAGGAAGAATCAAAGATGATTACAAAATTATATACCTAGGTGAGTGCTGAATGACCATCACATTGATAGAATTAAGAAAGTTAGGAATAGGTGAGTTTTGGAAGAAAGTGATGAATTTGATTTTGTTTTTAACTCTGAAGTCAAGGAAATGCATAGTGACTATTAGAGATTTAATAATGTGACTCAGACAAAAGGTGAGAACTGTAAATCTAGACTCAGATTAGTATAGCATCACAGAAGCCAACAATGTCAATGCCAAAGAAATCAAGGAGAATGAGGGCTGAGAAAAGTCTTTGGATCTGACAAAAAAGGTCATTGGTTGGTTACCCTGGAGAAAGAAGTTTCAGTAGGTGGTGAGGATGGAGGTTAGAAAGGAAAGATAGGCAGCAGGTTAAAAAAATACATTTGGATGTCAATATAAACAGCAGTACTTAGAGAATATCAAAAATATTTTGTTTTTTCCTTTTCCAAGATGGAAGAACAAATATAGATGAAGGCAAAGAGATAGAAGCCAGTGTCAAGGAATTATTAAAGGTGCTGGTGAGGGAAGATATAAGTGTGGGATAAAATTTCTTTGGGAGGAATAGAAAAGAAATAGAAAACCCAGTGATCAAGAGTAAGTCTTCCAGAAGAGGAGATACTTTTTTTTTCCTCTGGGATTAGGGACAAGATCAAAATATGTTTCTAGTCATAAAGATGAAGAAGAAAGTATGTGTGTACTCATACCAGACATCCTCAATTTTTTTTCAGTAAAGTAAGAGCTAAGGTCCTCTACCATAAGTGAGAGAGTAGAGGAAATAGAGGCTTGAAGAGAAAAGAGACTATCTGGAACATTTGCAGAAGAGATCCAATTTGGGGGAATGATTTTTTGGCCATAGGAAAAAATCAGAAAGGTGAAGGAGTTTAGGATGAAGGCAACAGTCAATTAACTGCCCAAGGAATACAGGTGAGGGAAGTTTAATGTCATTGGGGTAGGGATGGAGTTGATATATTACCTAATAATCTGGTGGAGGCTCTGAACGTCAGATCATATGGGGGGGGGTAAATAGATTTACAGAAGTGGGAGAGATGACAAAAATTGCAGAAAACACATCCATAGTTCCATTAGCTGTGCATTAATTGTTCTTATTGTTAAATCATTTCAGTTGTGTCCAACTCTTCATGATCCCATTTGGGGTTTTCTTGGTAAAGATACTGGAGTGGTTTGCCATTTTTTTTTATTTAATAGATGATGAAACTGAGGCGGGCAGGGTTAAATGATTTGCCCAGGGACATACAGCTAGTAAGTGCCTAAGTCCAGATTTGAACTCAAGAAGAGGAATCTTCCCGACTTCAAGCCCAGCACTCTATCTACTGCACTACCTAAGAATTGTATTTAAATTATAGAATCAAACAAGTTCCTATGAATCAAGTTCTTAGTTCAGATATAGTACATAAGGCTCAATTTTGGGTCACTCCATTTCAAAAAATTAATCATACCACTATAGGGTGGAGGAGAGATGCTAGAAATGTGAAAAAGATCTAGGAGTTTTAATAAACAACAAACCCAATATGGTAGGTAAAGCCAGAGGGAACACTACATAGGGGTAACCAGAGAGACACAGAGAGAACTAGGAGGTTGTGGTATCAAAGTATAATAGCAAAGAGAATGAGCAACTACACTAAATGCTAAGAAGAAGTTAATGATGATAAAAGTTAAGAAGAGGGCACTGAAATTATTTGGTAATAAGAGGACACTGCTGACTTTTGAGAGAGCAGTTTCAAAGAGTTGTCTCCCAACTGTATTTGGTGGAGGGAGGGAGGGAGAGGTAGAAGGGGGTATATAAGAACCTATTCCCATTTACCATTTAAATGGAGGGAAAAATACTTTCCTTGATCTGAAATTATAAGTGACAGAGAAAATGATGCCAGTGACCTGAGAGGTTAGATCACAGTGTAATGGAATTCCTCTATTAACCTTCCTGAACAGAGTCACATATAAAGATCTTACTATAGCCTTAAATTTGATAGAGTGTGCCCTCTTTATCTCTCTGATCAAAAAACAATCCAGAATGTTATTTTTCCTTACTCTTTCCATCCCCTCTCCCAAGAAATGTCTGGACAATGGGGAATAAATGACCTGGAATACATAAAGTTTGCTTAGGTAACAAAGAGTAAAGTCTGCCCCACCCACCTCCACTTAATTGTGACTACTTAATGCTAAACACTGAATCATTTAATATCCTGTGGTTTCTATTTCCATCTTTGTAAAATGAGAGAGTTGGGTTAGATAATCTCACAGTAGTTAATTAGACTCAGAGGATTTACAACTAGAAATTAATCAAATCCCCTCATTTTTGTAGAGGAAGAAACCAGAATCCTTAGAAGGGATGAGATTTAACAGTCATGTATATAGTAAGTAGCAGAGCTGGTATCTGAACCCAGTTCCACAGAAACTAAGCCTAGTGATCTTTCCACCACACCATACTGTCTCCCATGCTAAGACCACTCCTAATTCTAACAGGCTATGATTCTCTGATAGGTGCTTGACAAAACATATTACGTTATACATAGTAGATACTCAACACACAATTGATGAATGGATGAATGAATAAATGAAAGAATGAATGAATAAATGAATGAAATCCATGAAAATAGTAGTTTTAGGTCATTGGAAATCTGACCTAGTATATTAAGGGAATATTTTTAAAAATTTAATATAAAGGATGTATAATTGAAGTTTTAAGTACTTTTTCAGGGTATAGATTTAAACAGTGATAAGTGAACTCTGTCCATTTCCTCTGAAACAGAGGAGAGGAAAAGTAATATATATGAAACAATAAAATCCATAGATTAAGAAAATTCTAGAAAATCTCTCAACTCAATATGTATGAATGTTGCCAAGTATTCCCCTAAATGCTAATAATAAAGCCTCACATACTGAGTTAAAATGTACTCTATAGAAACATATGGGCTTCATTATAACTAGCAAATCAGTGGGTAATTAACTTTGTCAGCCACTGAGAAGAAAAAGACCACAGGATACTATTTCCTGAGTAATCAGATTGCAAGTGCCTAATTCCAAGAAACATCTTGACCATGGAAAACATTAACTAGTGAAGAGGATTTTTACTCTCTGACTTATAATCATGCAGTTGATGAAAATAAGTGAATGAAAAAGGTTCATATTTTGACATTTAGAGTTTATTGTATAAGATGAAAACAGGTTATTTTATCTATCGAGCACCCCCAAATTGCTATGACTGAAATTTTCAATGGACCAGTTTTTAAAAAGTGAATTCTTGTAGCTACTGCTAAGAATGTTTAATTCATCAGATAAGTGTAGCTTTTGTCATTTTAATCAGACCATGTGGGTGATAACCGAATCACAGATATTCAATAAAGATAATTCTTTCAACATCCAGTTTTAGGATCATTTATTTTTTAAACATCACAACTATTTTTTTCCTAGTTATCCTCTTTTTGATTGGGGAAGATTTCTTAGAATTGACATAAAAATGAAAATGCTTGTTGAGTTGGTAGTAAGGCCTATGACAGAAAGTGATGGGAATCAAACCTAGAAAGTGAGTTCCAGCTGCATAACTATAGACAAATCATTTAAATTTTTTTTGGGGGGGGGCTTAGTTTTCTCATTTGTAAAGGGGAGATCGACTAAATTATCTTTAACCATATACACACACACCCACTGCTAAAATTGTATGATACTAATGTATTACTTTGACCTCTTATATCTACTTTGCCCTGTAAATGATAATATTAACTCAAGGGTTTGATTCCTTAAGAAAATGATATACCTACTTGAATGCAACAAGCATTTATGAAGTGCTCACTAAATACCATGTAAATGATAGGGGCAATATGGTATGGTCACCAAACTATGGTGGATGGAAAGCTGGCTTCAGAATCCAGAAGACACATATTTGTTGTGTGAGAGTGGGCAAGTCATTGAAGTTCTCAGTATGCCAAGTAGCTCTCCAAGTCTCTAAGTTGCAGAATAGCTGTTGATCTGCTTTTCTAGAGAGAGTTTCTTATCAGGATCTCTCTATAGCAATGAAATCTCAGGTCTGGTCCACCCCTCCCCCCCCAAAAAAATACCAGTAAAGAAGCTGATTCTTTTTCTGGTGAAAAGAGTACAGATTAGATTGAACTATGTTGGACAAAGGTTAATTTTTATCATGACCTGCATACCATCAGGTACACAGCACAGTCTTCTGACAGTTTCTGAGGTTTATGAAATGAATAACAACTTAAGTTGATAGACATATTCAAGGTAGCTATGCAGCAGAAGATGGACAGATTGAGAAGGCAGACAAAATAGCATTATTAATATTAATAGATTATGTTTAAATTAACCCAATACAATTCTAACTATTGAAATTTATAAATGTAGAGTGTTTCACCACAATATAAAAATAATTATATAGTAATATGGCAATTACAGAGTAATTGTAAGTCTGGGTCCTGTGAACCAAGAAAAAAGGGAATATCTCAGAAAATATTGTCAAGAAAGTAGCTGTCACTGACCCAATGACGTACAGTCATCACCTCATTACCGTCATCATTCTGTATTTATGCTTCAGACAGCTTTATGCACAGTTCAACGCACAAGGCCTCTCCCAAGGGCACACACAGAACACAAAAGAATACAAACATGAATAGACAAAGAGCCACCTAAGTGACTAGACTCCCCAGACCCACATTGCTCTTCCAAGGATGATTTTCTTGACCCTCCTCCTTCCAAGACAATCATCTATATTGCTACAATCTAAAAACCAGTCAATAAATATAACCCCAGTGTCGAGTTCTCTCTCCCTGCTTCTCAAAATGTCTGACAGAAGGAAAAACTGATTCATTTCTGTCTCACATCTCAACTTCTCTTTTTCATTGATTGTGGCAAAAATATTAAAGCATTAAGAAAAATTTAGCATTCTCTAAAGAGATAGGAGACATAGAAGCTACATATATCTCTTGGATTCTGGATGCTATGCAGGAAATACTATATGCTCCTTCTAACTATAAAAAAACAGACCTAAAATCAGGAAAACTGAAAATACAAAAATGTTCTTGTGCTTTGGAAGCAATGAAAATGCCTTAAAATATCTCAATACTTTCTTGGAGTGATGTTATTGGATTTAATTTAACAAGCATGTATTATGCACCTATGATGCGAGGAGGCACTGGGTATACCAGAGACAAAAACAAAATAGTCCCTGTGTTCAAGGAGCTAACATTCTTCCACACTAGCATCTCCTGGTATTAACTACACACAAATACAATATTTGATCAAATTGCCTTTATCAGCTTATGCTAGATTATTGTTAATTGGAACACTACTAATATGTAGTGTTCTTACACACTAATATGTATGAAGTGACTTTTGTAAATCGACATTTACATAACTTACAACGTTCCACTGAAGGTGGCATTAATCATCATTACCCTTAGATATTTCAAGAGGAATCCAAGCTCAATTATCCTTTGGCTAACTTTAACATGATAAGGTTCCTTTTAAATATTAAAGAGCCACTGATTAGTGATGAAAAGAATACTCCTTTGAAACCTGAGTGGGATAAATTGCGAGAGACATTTTACTTGAGGATTTTGTTTTTGTTTTTTCTAATGTGATGATATTTCTTGGTATGTGCAAGAGTTACTACAAAAGTCCTCATGAAAATAACCACTGTGGTCTAAATCTATTCTTTCTTGAGTAAATTGAGAAAACTATCATTTGGGCATATAAGACCCTTTTAGATGTGAATTAGTTTTCTCAATGCAGTACCATTCAAGCTATTGCAACAATAATACCTTCTAGCATTCTAGAATGGTGTTTTAGGAAATGGTACCCTAGTGGCCTACTAGAGTTAATGTACCTTTAAAGGGGCTTAATTTACACTCAAAAGGAGGCCTCATTGTTCTTGGGGCAGTGTCTGACCCATTAATTAAAAGCCCTTCTCTCCCCCTCCCCAATTTAATTCATGGTTTAGAGAAAACCTCTTTCATTAGGCAGTTTAGGGACAAAATTATGCCTACCCAATAAAATTCAGAAGGTTGTTGTGAAGTCAAATGAGAAATGTACCTTAAATAAGGCAAGGGACACTTAATGATAACTCTCATTATCAACATCAAGCCAAAATTAAGACTGGGGAAGCAAATTCTTGCCGAAAAGTAACCAAAACTGTCACAGCAGATACCCTGAGCAAAGTCTAAGTAGAACAAGAGGTTCATTATAAATAGCGAGGACCTTAAGATGCTTCCATTTGTGCTGTGCTGATTACACCAGGCCCCATAACACCACAATGCTGTTCAACGATGTCTATAGTCACCCAAAAGCCACTGGCCCTGCAAACCATGCAGGAAAAATTAAGTGTATCCAAAATATACATTGTCTACACAATGATGATTTGACTAGGCGGCTCATTGAAGTAGTCCACTAATAATAAGAATAAATAGTAATAATAGTAACAAGAATATCATTTTAAGTGCCTCCTATTTGCCAGACACTATCCTAAGCACTTTACAAATATTATCTCATTTGATCCTCACAACCACCCTATGAAGTAGGTGCTATTATTATCCCCATTTCACAGGTGAAGAAACTGAGGCAAACAGAGGTCAAGTGATTTGACTAAGGTCATATAACTAGTAAGGTGTCTGAGGCTGGATTTGAATTCAGGTCTTCCTGACTCTAGGCCCACCTCTCTGTCCATTACACTCAATACATATTCCTTGGACAAGCATTGGAAATATACAAGGAGCTAGGCTTATTAAGAAATTCTCAGGGCAGCTAGGTAGCGCAGTGGATAGAGCACCGACCCTGGAGTCAGGAGGACCTGAGTTCAAATCCAGCATCAGACCAAACACTTGTCACGTACTAGCTGTGTGACCTTGGGCAAGTCACTTAACCCCAATTGCCTTACTAAAAAAAGAAAAAAAAGAAAGAAAAAGAAAAAAAATTCCCTTAAGAAGTCCCCTTACCAGTGAGAATTAGCACCATCTCTATATTTTAATAGTCTTAAAGATTGGCCTGGGACACTGGAAATTTAAATTACTTGCCCAAGCTAGTCATGCAGTTATTTATGTCACATGCAGGACTTGAACCCAGGTCTTCATGACTTTGAAGATAGTCCTCTCTTCACTATACTACACTGCCTGTAATATATTACGGTGTCTGCTTCTCTAATATGCTTTTTTCTTGCAATTAATCACAAAACAAGTAAATATCTGAATAATCTTGAAGAGAATTGAATGAAATAGTCAATCATGGAGTCTAAACCCAATTAGTTAAAACAAAATAAAAAAAACTAACTTGCTTAAATTAACATCTCTGAGCCAACTCAGATTATAACACTGAGACTGAATTGAATGCTTCCAATAGGACAAGGGCTATATTTCACTAGCTTTCCTCTTTGTAGGAGCAAATGCCTATCTCAGGATATGGTGGCTGCAGCACCAAAAATGACTTGAAAATTAGAAAACATTTACTTACCACAGACTCTACTCAATGCCAAGATCATATCATCATACACTAAAATGAAAAAGGGAAATGTACCATTACAATGTATAATCATATCAGAAAGCAGGTTTCTTTTTTGCATTTAATTAAACTGATACAGGAAATGGTCATGTTAATTTGAAAAATGGCACATAAAAGTAGCAATATTTATCTATAAAAAGATCTATGGAGCTAATACATCTTTTGTAGGCTTGTGCCTCCCCACCTTTTAAACAACAGATGAGAACATTTTACTTCATATAAATCCAACTCTATTTTTAATTGAATTGGTTCATCATTATTTGTATTATGTTCATAATGGCAATGTTGAGAGGAACCTTGGTTCCAGACTGGTGTTCTGCCACAGTATTTTACATAAAGCACTAACTAACATAGTATCTCCTTCCCTTTAAACATCAAAACAGTTTTGAAGAGAACAAAAGCACAAATATGTTTTCTTCTACCTTAATATATCTGACAGAAGAATATGTGTTCTATCTGAAAACACAGATGAATGTACTTTTATGGTTTACGACCTACTACTGGGTAAATGGATATAGTTTTTTTTAGCAGAACAAAGAAAGCCTTTTTTAAAAATTACCTTTGCCAGCTATTTCAAGGATAGATGCATCTTGGCCTCTATCATCTTTCAATGTTGCCTTGTATTCACCTTGATCCTTCTTGGACAACTGCAAATAAAGCATATTATAGTTGTATGAAATTAACCCTGAAGATCTCTGAGTAGAGACTAGAGGATCACTTTTTAAGCAAATGTTTATCCACTGCATAAAGGGACTAGACTAGAACCTCTGAAGTACATCATACTTCTAGAGCTCTATTATATAGTCATATGCAATTAAAGACACAGGAGCCAGGTTATCTAATATTTCTTCATGAAATATATGTGAAATTCAAAGTCTTATTCAACTGGAAAAATAATGTAGCATTTATGAGTAAATATCTCTAGCATACACTTCCATTTTCATTCTATCCTGGAAAAAAAGTCATTCAATCCACTATACCTTTGGTATGAGTAGTTCACACAGTCCTTTTTCCAGATCAGGTAAGGTTTCAACTTCATGAAGAACATCATCCTTTAGCCATTTGAAAACTGTCTCTTTTTTTGTGTTTGCCACCTATTAAGTTGGAAGCATAAGTCACATTATCTTGAAGCACCTAAAACAATGTGATTTTGATGTTGAATTACAAATTAGCATGTCATATGCAACTGGCTCTCATATATCCTGTTGCCATTAGAAATGGGAGGGAAGCTTCTAAGTTAAAGCTTCTGGGATAATTAAACTCTATTTCATGCCAAAAAGATATTTGAGTTTTCATCCCATCATTCCATGAAATTAGTCAGCAATAATCAACAATAAAGGCATTATACAATCTATTTTATATTTTCTAAACACAATTGTGTTTTCTTAGAAATCTAGGCAACTGCATAGGATTGTTGATTGAGAGTAAAACAAGGGAGTATGAAAAGGGGGAATATTTCAGGCAACAGCTTACACAGACTGACTCAACATTCTTGACAATTCCAGCCTAGAGAGCTTGATTAGAACTTGATCTATCTAGCAAATGAGATGAAATGCAACTTCTAATTTCCATTTAGAACCAAAGATCACACTTTACACCATTCCACAGGTCAGAGAAAGTTCCCACTACACCAATGTGGGGTTGGCTAACCTGACCAAATAAGAACTTTCTATTCTCATTCAGCCCAAAATTCTACCTGGACACAATACATGTGAAAAGACTGTAGGATTTGTGTTGGCATACAGAAATGTAATATTGTTTAAAGTCATGATTTCTAAACCCAGAATTATTGTACCTTACATCAGTAGGTTAAAATTTACAAAGTACTTGAAATAGAAAGCCTTGTTGTGGCAATAGCAAAAATGACTAAAAGTGGTACACACTGAATGGGCTGCTAACAAGAGACAAAATATTTTTAAGGAAGCTGAGTTTAGTTGAATTTTAGACAAAGTGCCCTGCTTCTTAGTTTCTCTCTTCTCTTTGCTCAAAATGTACAATTTGCCACTGTTTCAATGTGGAAAAAGAAAGCAATGTTAGTGGTTAAAAAAAAAGAGTTGTTACTAAACTTAAACTTATAGTGAAGGATTCTTACAGGAGAATACATCAATTGATTCCATCAGTAAAATACTGATGTTGATTATAAATCTTCTATAGTTAAGCAAATCAGCTACCTCAGCTTCAGAAAAGCTAAGTAACATGGTTGTTGTCGCCCAACTAGTAAGTGTTAGAGATAGGGTTTGAATCCAGGCCATCTTGACTCTGGGTTTGGCAGTCTATCCAATACAGCACAGAGTATCATCTCATAGGAAAAAAATCTTCCTCAAAAATACCTTAATGTCTTTTCCATATTTGCATGTCAAAGATGTTTATATTAATTTAGGGTCACTGAAATTTTATACCACTGAGCTATATATTCCTGAAAACAAATTTATAATCAAACCTAATAATGATTTGCAGAATAATCCTTGAGATTAGTTCAATACATATAAATATGTGACAATGATAACAAAAGGTAATGCATATCTCCACATTTGTTAGTAATCAAAGTCTATTTTATCATTATGTTATTAATCAAAAAGTATCATTATATTCTTAGCAAATCTGCTTTTCATTTCCTAATGGAAGTTCTATACAAAAAGCATAGGCAAGACTATGAAGACACGTTAAAAGAATTTCATACCCTCAGATTCCTTCCTAAATTCACCTGATAGAAAATTTTAAGTAAAATGCAGCAAGTGTACTTTTAAAATATCTTCTTTATTTTATTTTTACATTCCAAAATAATATATTGTTTTCATTAGGAAACACTTTCAGTTTTAAATCACGTACCTATTCGTTGATAAGCATGAAGTATCTCAGAATAGATAAATAAGTAAATGAATGAATATATAAAAATGCCTATTGATATATTGTGCAAAGCCAAGGGACTCAACAACATATTGCTATTATAAGTAATTGATCAGCAAGTAATATTTTTTCATGTGAAATCTGTCTTAATAGACTCTAAAATGAATTCATAACATATGCTTAATATATTTCCCACCTTACACTTCAGTCGAACTTCACATTCTTCTGTAACATCCCAATGTAAATACTCTGCAAAATGAGGACCTAAGGGAAAATAAAAAGGTGTGAATTTACACCAAAGAACCAATATGTATGCATTTATGACAAGAAGAAAATTGCTGTGCAACTTGAAACCAAAATAATTATTTTTCAGGCTACCTAAGTTAACATTTTTGCCTAGTGCTGAGTCTCTCTTGGACTTTGTATTGCCAAGTAGAAAGCTTACAGTCTGATCTCTCATTCTTGCTAACATCCAATATCTATTTCCCTTTAGAAAGAATAATCTTAAAACTACTTTATTATATTGCCTAAGGCATATTTATGGCTGAATATTCAACAGCTTAATGCATAAAACATCTAAAATGGTAAAATTAGCAGAGAAGAGATAAACAAGCTTTTAACCTACCACTGCTCCTCATATATCACATTTCACTAGTCAAAAAAAAAATTAGAAAATAAATGACAGTAGCTTTTGTTTCTTTTTTTAATAAATAGTCTGTATAAAATAAAATGAAAAAGTGAATGATAGGCAAATATTAAAGCTTAGTATTACTATAATACATAAAACCATAGATTGAGAAGACATAGAGAGTATTTAGTGTTTTTTTAAATGCATTTACAAAATGTTCTTAATAATATAGCAGTTTGTTATAAGAAATTACCTTCAAAGTTCATTAAGTTGGTGAGATTCACAATAATGAAATGAATAAGGTAAAACAGTCTTGTCCACCAAAAAATATGAACTAAGCCTGACTAAAAGTAAGCAAGTTTGATTTCCATGAGGTATGCTAACTGTAATGAATTCTACTTTCTAATAGTGCAGTATTACTTCTGTGCATGCAAAATTGTTCTGGGTTTCATTTACATAAATAATTTAAAGGAACAGCTGGATTATATTTGAGACCATAATAAATATGTTTTGAAATTACATTTTTTCTTCATAGCTGTAGTAATAAAAGGCATTGTGACTAGCTTTGGAGTCAGTAACATAGACCACAGTTCAGGTCTTGCTTCTGACGCATATTAGTTACATGACCAAGAGGAAATTACTTTGGGACTCAGGGATCAGAGCAACTCTCTAAGACCATAAGTTACAAATGAATTGTTGATCTTCATTGAAAGGGAGGATTTTCCACACCAGAAGTTTCCCATCTTGAGGAAATCATTATCTGGACCAAATAAAATTAAATATTATCCATATACACATTATAATTTCTGAAAAAGGGCTGATAGCAATACAAATACAAATAAATACAAAGTTAAGAATGACTTGAACTAAATAAAATAAGAAAATTTCTGCCCAATAAAAATGACTTCCACTGTTTTTTAAAATCATATAACTAAAATTCTTAAGCCTGTTTCTCACTCTGAAATTTTGTGATTCTAGGAAACCTCAGAAGTATTTTCTAATGGGTGCAATAAATTGTTCAGGTACCATCTGGATGTTTGAAGGTAGGCCGATCTTTCCGTAAAAGAACATTTTCCTGGAAATGACTATAATATTAGCCTTGTTGTTGAATCTTTTTTTATTCATTGTAACTACTCAGCTGCCAATTCAGTTCATCAAGTATTTGCTTAGGGACTATTATGTGGTCAGTACTATATTCAGTATTATGAAAGGTTTAAAAGAAACATGAGATATGGTTCAAAAAAAATAGAAAAATGCACAAATGCACATGGTCCCTGCCTGGAGGGAATTTATATCCCATTGGGAAGACATCATGTACATTGAAGAAATCGTTAACTAACAATCTAAGACAATATGATTTCCCTTAAAACCACAGGTAGTGGAGCAAAGAAGCCATAGGAGTTCAAAGAAGGAAGACATAACAGAGGACTAGAATGGCCAAGCAATGTTGCATGGAGGATGTAGGGCTGAAAGAAGACTTTTAGGAATGCAAGGAATTTAAGTTGACAGATAGGAGAGGGTGAATGAAGGTCTCCATGCAAGGATAATGACATTGGCAGTCTTTTCCCAAAGGAATGAACACAATGAGTTAAGAAGGCAATAAGGAGTGGAAATTTTTTGTTGAAGAGCACTAGGAAAGCAGTGCCTTCCTTTTCACTTCCTGTTCACTTAATTGGAAATATCTTCCCCCCACCCTCTTCACCTGGCAAATTTCTACCCATATTTTAATGCCCAACTCAAAGGTCACCTCTTCTGGAGGGCTTTCCTGATGCCCTCCATTTTAGTTTAAATTACCTATTTATAATAAGTAACATATTAATCTGTCTTTTTCCCCCCATGATAAACTGCAAACCCAATTAGTCAGGGACTGTATTTTATCTAAAATTTATGTTTTTAACCCTCAACCAGTGGTGGGGGAACAGTGCTCTACATATAGTAAATGTTTAATAAATGTTTGTCATCTTTACTATATGCTAGGAATTGTGCTAGGCTTTAAGAATACAAAAATAAAAATGAAACACATTGGGGAGGGTCTTAAAAGACAATCTGAGAAATTGGCACTTTATTTTATAGTTTTCTAAGGAAAGGAATGACAGGACAACAGTTTCTGGAGAAATTAATCTGACAATCATGTTTAGGGTAGACAGAAGGAGAAGAGATTACAACTAGAGAGACCAATTAGGAAACTTTTGAAGTAATATAGGCATGAGGTGATTGGGGTCTAGAAAAGGGTGGTGACAGTGGCAGTGGAAAGGAAGGGACAAATTTTTTAAAAAATATTTCAAAGGCAAAAAGACATAACTTTATGACTAATTAGATAGGAGAGGTGAAGGAAAAGAGATGCTAAAAATGACTACCAATTTGGGGACTAGGATCCCAAGAGAATAGTGGAGTTATTGATGAGTCAGTCCTCTCCTTGCTAAGGGTAAATATAGTCATTTAATAAAATAGAGTTCTTATTAAGGAAATTAGATCAATTATGTGGTCTTTATTTAGAATTACTTTGCATTGTATAGGTCCTACTCTGAATAGAACATCTAGTTTAATTTGGGTCTTTTAGGGAACATCCAAATGAACTACTTACCTTGTTTCCTGAGGTATTCTTTTCTTTGGAATTCAGCCTCTTCCAGGACAGCCTTAAATGCTAAAATTCAGTATAGAGATGAAAAGACAGGAAACAGAATTTAGTCAATTAGCAATTCAAATGTATTTGCACTCTAATGCTTTTTATAGGCATGTGCTAATATTGGATGTGTCGTACCATCTCCAATGAGAACCAATGAAGATTGATTTTTGGCTTTTCCATCATGGATCTGCACAGTGTAGGTGCCTTCATTTTCAATAGTAAATCGATCCATTACCATCTCAATGATGCCAGTCGATTTATCACACTTAATTCTGTGAGTCTAAAAGCAGGAGACAAAATGTAGAATTATACAATGTAACTCTTATAGATATATACATATGTATGTATGTATGTATATGTAAGTATGTACGTGTGTACATATATATGTATATCTCCTTTTACATCAAACAGCAGCATAATCTATTGAACCCAAAGAAATGTCATTAAAAACTGAACTTTTCTTTACAAAATATTTTGGCAACCCAAATGGCAAAAAAGGAATGCAGATTTTCATTCAGATCTATCATATCCAAATTGTATTTCAATAGTTTGAAGAGAATATCTTTAGAAGGTGCTTTCTTTGTAGAAGTGGGAAAAGAATGCTATGTGGAACACATGATTTGCTAAACTGGGTTATTTCCTGAAGGAGGGCAGTTTGGGTCATGAATTCTGCCTGACTTCTTTGCTATAACTACACCCAGCAAAAGACATTTTTGTATATTTATACTGATATTTCAATGTCAGTTAAGTAACAGTACATTTAGAATGTCAATAATATCACAATAGTAACCTTCTATGTAAACTACAAAGTTCATCTACCCCCCCCCAATGAATCTGAACTCTGGCTTACTCTTAAGACCATAGTCTAACTCTATCTTTCTGTCCAGTCTTATGCCCTAATAATTCCCTGCCACATTAAATGGTATTCAAGCTTATCTTATATTATGATTACTCCTATGTCTGTCTTCACACATTTTTTCCCCTTGACTGCAAAATCATCTTTTCTTCATTCTCCTCAACCTTTAAAACTCAGTTCAAATCCTATCTCCTCCAGCAAGCCTTCCTGACAATTCCAATTATAAGCTCTTTTTCTTATCTCTATGCCACAGTTTTTCTAATTTAATTTACAAATATTTATTGTGTCTGCCATAAGACACAGCTAGGTGGTAGTATGGATAGATTGTAGGACCTAGAGTAAGAAAGACCTGAATTTTAATTCTGCCTCAGATACTTACTAGCTATGTGACCCTGGACAAGTCATTTACTTTCTCTCAGACTCAATTTCCTTATCTGTAAAATAGGGATGATAATAGTACCTACTTGTTCTGAGGCTCAAAATAGAAACATGCAGAGCATTTTGCAAACCTTAAGACTGTGTATGAATGTTAGCTATTATTAGTATTATCATTTTTATTATATGCACAATGTATTATTCTAGGTTCCTGAGATACAAAGAAAAACAAACACAAAAAAAACATCCCTTTCCCTCAAAGAGCTTACTTTCTACTAGGATACCATGTTTACACATGCAAATAAACTCAAATAAAACAAAATCATTCTGAGGGAATGGAAAGTGAGTCTAACTAGGAGTGGAGATCAGGAAAGACAATCAAAGGATCACGGCTCTCTGCACAAAACTAAGCACAGAGCTAACATTGAAAGAAGGCTTGATAACTGATTGATTACAGAGTAAAGACTGCCCTGTAGCTGGATAAACAAGGTTCTTTTGATCCCCAGTGTTATAGCCAAAAGAGCACTAGTTGAGGGTAATTGCCATGTTTCACGGGACCTTAATCAAATACGGATTTAAATCGGGGTTGTTGTTGTAGTTGTTGTTGTTGCTGTTGGGTTTTTTTTGTTTGTTTGTTTGTTTTTTTTACAATATGAAGTCCTACTGAGGTTTGATTTCCTATAAAGACAGAAAATCATTCTTAAAACAGAAATCACCATATCATCAAATATGAATGCAAGTCACACATTATGTATTTGTGTAAGATCACTTAGCCTTCTCTGTCTCAGAAAATTGGAAAGGAGATTGAGATAACAAAAAAAGAGGAACAGGGTTCAAAGATGCGTAGGTGAAAGAGAAGGTTAGGGTTATGAATATTAAAAAGAGAGAGTGTGAAGAATGAGATAATTATCAAGAGAGACAATTAGATGACTCAGCTCCGGAAATGAACTTTGTTTATCAAGATGCAGAGTGAGCCAGGGAAAGGATGGAATATGAGAGAAGTAATGAGTGTTCAGAAGTCTGGGGCCTTTCCCCAGTCTTTAATTATCTCAGGCCTTTAGAATCTGAGTTTTTGAACACCAAGGGTAAATTTTCAAAACCTAGAAACTGAATTGTTCCCATTTAGATTCTATTAAGCTTATTTCAAGCATTTGTAAGAAGGGAACTATAGTACCTTATTCTAATTAGGTTCAAGAAAGAAAAATATAACTCTAGCTGGCAACAAGAATCAAACAAAATTCTCAACAGTACAATAGTCTATTGAAATGTATTCAGCAACTACACTGCAGTGTCTGGGACAGTTTTAGAAAATAATTAGGCTGCTCTCTATTGCCAATATGCAGCAAGATAAAGTTCAATGATTTTATGGGTGCCATAAATACGAGCTTTTATGTGACTTTCACAAAATAGCATCAATCTTCAAATGTAAAAGTCACCTGTGGGTTACTAATTAAAAAAGTGAAATAGGGCAGCTATACTTTGGAAAATTAGCTGTGTAGCCGTGACATCAGTTTTAAGGGCAGGTAGGAAAAATGTTAATCAAATAGTATTATGTAAATCATGTTAAATTAAGCTAAATTGCATAGGATTAAGAGCTGGAATGGATTTCAAAAATAATTTAGACCAACTCAGTTATTTTACAAATAAGGAAACTGAGGTAGAGAGAGTAAAAGGATTTGTACAAGGTCATATAGTTAAATATAGTATCACATTGTAAAAGTAAAAATAAAATAAATGGTAAAACATGAACTTGAACCAAGAATCTTTTACTCCATATCCAAGATGTTTTTTCTCTATTAGTTAGTGTTATGCTTTTAAGTAACAGAAAGAAACCAAAGGTGACCTAGACAGCACTCACCTCCTCAGTGATATAGCTCTTTTATAAAGAAGTGCCATCTTTTCTTTGGGAAGCATTCACTAGACTTTAAATATCAGATTTCTAGTCATGAAAGAAACTTATATATTTTTTTTCTTAGAATGGACCTAGGATTTCATTAATATAGAGAGCTCCCAATGAGGAAACTCCTTAAACCCATGCAGAACAGTACTTTCTCTAAATCTTAATTATTTTAGAGAGTTGCCTAGAACACTAAAATTAAGTTGACTTTCCCAAAATCCCCCAGTCATTATGTGTCAGAGACAGAGGCCAAACTTGATCCCAGGCCATCTTGATTCCTGATTCTTTGGCCATTTTATACATACACATATGTGCATATATATATATGTGTGTGTGTGTGTGTCTGTGTGTGTGTCTGTGTGTGTGTTTCTGTGTGTCTGTGTCTGTGTGTCTGTGTATGTGTGTGTATGTATGTATATATATAATATATATATATATATATAGAAAGAGAGAGACAGAGACAGAGAGAGAAAGACAAAGACAGAGACACAGACAGAAAGACAGAGAATCAGACAGAGAGGCAGAAAGATCAAGTAAAGAGAATGGAAACTTCCTAGGTAGGGGATATCACAAGATTTCTATTTTTTCAAGAGTTCTGTCCTAGAACCAGTTCTATTTCAGTGTGTGGACCATGAAGAAGAGTCCAAATAAACCAGCTGTGCTTTGTTGCATTCAGTTTTATATGTCAGTAGTGTGGTATGATGGTAAGAAGAGCAGGGGTATAATGAATGGATAGCTGGACATATAGTAAAAGTAGCAATGATTTCAGAAAGCCAGCATGGCTTCATCAAGAAAAGAACGTTTCATGGTATTTCCTTTTTGACAGAGTTATTAAAGTGATAATTGAATGGAATGCTATAGATATAAATTTGTCTATATTTTAGCAAAATATTTGATCAACTGTCTCATACTATTCTGGAAAAAAAAAAGACAGCTGTGAACTAGATAAGCATTGGATTGAATCTAATAAAGTGAAATTCCGCAGGTAAAATTGTTAATCTTATACTTAGAAGCAAAAAAAAAAAAAAAACTTCACAAGTAAAATAAGTCATAGTAGATAGAAATTTGTTGAAATGAATCTAGGGACTTTGGCTTACTACGAGCTCAATATAAATTAGCAGTGTGATAGGTCACCCAGAAAGGTTAATGTGGTCTAGAGCTGCTTTAAGAGAGACAACTTTCTAGGAATAGAAAGGTGATAGTCTCACTATACTCTGCCTTCCTCAGTCCTTATATTAAGTATAATTTTCAGACAAATTATTGTCTATCCATGCCTCTTACTCTTGTGAAGGTGATTTTTTGTACCCGTGCATAAAGATTTTATACTTTAGCTCAGGTACCGTAGTTTAAGAAGGATATTTATAAGCTTGAAAAAGTCTGGAGGATGGTAAAAAGTCTTGAGTCTGTATCATATGAGGATTGGTTAGAGAAATTGGGAGTGATTAGGCTGAAAAAGAGAAGAATCAAAGGAGATATGATAGCTATGTTCCAGTGTTTGAAGTGCTGCCATTCAGAAGAGGAATTAGGTTTGTTCTACTTGGCTAGAGGGCAAAATCTCAAACAATGAAGGTGCAAAGAGATTAATCAAGAGCTGATTTCAGAAAAAAAAAATCTTAAAAATTAGAGCTTTCAAAAAGTGGAATAGACTGCTTTGAGGGTTAATATTTTTCTTCTCCCTGAATTTCTTCAAGCACAGACTGGATAACATCCTTTTTAGGTATGTTAAAGAAGGCATTCTTTCTAGTCCATCTTGGTTTGATTAGATTGCTTTAGGCTGGCTGCGTTTCTTACATTCTGTGATTCTTTGATTTCTGATGCCCCTTGTCACTCTATGATCCTGTCCTATTTAGACAGTTAGGTGGTATAATGTATAAAATGTCGAACTTGGATTCAGAAAGACATGAGTTTGAATTTAGGATTTAACAAGATTATACATGTAAAGTGCTATGTAAACCTTAAAGACCTGTATAAATACTAACTAGCTACTAGCTGGGTGACCACTGTCCTTCCAGTCTCGTTTTCCTCATCTGTTAAATGGGGCTAATAATAACACCTACTTCACAGCGCTCCTGTGAAGCTCAAATGATACAATATATGAAATTGCTTTGTAAACCTTAAAGTGCTCCATAAATGCTAGCTATTATCCAAAGATGATAAGTATCTCCTTACAGACTACATGTAGCAATGTTACTTTTCAACTTAAAAAATTAAAGGCTGAATTGCAGAAATTTAAAACATTGTCTAACGCAGATAAAAGAAAATGTTTTTTTGGACTTTTAGCATTCTTTCTCATCATTTCAACCCAAGCCTTCAATCTCTAGGAGTAAATCTAAATGATGAAGGAATTTATAGGCACCATCAGCTACCGCTTCCCTCCTATTAGGAAAGGGTCTGTTGGAAGGAAGTCATCACTCATGATAAGCTGAATTGAGCAGGGTCAGTGTCATTATCAAGAATAGACAAACAGATTTGGGGAAAAAAAAAACCTTTTCCCCAGAGAACTTATATCTTTTCACAAAATCAAATTCAATCTGAACTTTTTTTCCCCTATAGAGATTATAAAACATCACTTAGCATTTTCAAATGTGAACAGGTCTAGCTTTTAAAGTATTTCTTATCTCTGAAAGGCTAGTGTTCAAAAAAAACTGAAAGGCGAGGTCCTTCAGGGACTGCAAGATCAGTATTAATAAACAATATGTCATAATCTTAAATTAAACATAGAGAAACTAATCTAGTTTTCATATGCAGTAATATGCATAGATTCTGGTCAAACCACATATGGAGCACTCAATTCTTGGTAGGAAGGACATAAGCTGAAAAGTATCATTCCAGAATAGGAAGACCAGGATTGTGAGGATTAACCTTGAGACCTTGTCCTATATGGATAAATTGAAGAAATTGGTAATGTTTAACTTGGAAAAGAGTTTGGAGGCTGAGGGTTGGAGGGTAGGGTGGACTGATAACGGTTGTATTCAAATATCTAGAGTGCTGTCATGAAGGAAAGGTACCATCCTTGATCTTCTTGGCCCCAGAGGGCACAATTAGGAGCAATGGACGGTAGATGCAAAGAGGTAGATTTTTTTTAGCTTAAAAAAAGGGGTAAAACCTAACAATTAGAATTATCAAAAAGTCTAACAGACTGACTCAGGAGGTAGGCGGTTTCTATCTCACTGGTGCTCATCAAGCAAACCACTTGTTGTGAGTATAGTAGAAAGAATTTGTACTTAGGTATTAATTGAATTAGCTGATCTCTGAGGTCCCTTCAAACTCCAAGATTTTAGAGATTCTGTGTAATAGAAAGAAGTCAGAAGGTCTGAATTTGAATCTCAGTTCTGCCACTTAGAAATTGTGTGACTTTAGAGAAGTCACTTAATTTCTCTGAGTTCTGATTTTCTAATATGTAAAACTGGGATACTAGCAAGAACTGGCTATTGTGAAGATTAAATTAAATAACTGTTGAATTCTTTACAATTCACAATATAAACAAATGATCATTTTTGTTATTTCTTATCTAAACTAAAGCCACATTCTGAATATTATAAGGAGGTTTAATTCATCTTACCAACCTCCCCCACCCCCAAATCTGGTAGCTCAGTAAGTATTGAAAATAAACAAAGAACAACTGCCATAAACAACTGCCCTACCACTGTGAATCTTATCCCTGGCCAAAAACCCAGAATGCTCACATGTGACCTTACCTCGCTGTCAGAAACTTCTCTGTCATTAATAACGAATCTGTAGCTGGCATCCGGTGATAAGTGCTCAGCCTGGAGCCAGAAACGAACCTGGCCCTTATCAAAAATCTCATAAGCTAGTTCTGATTTCAAAGGAATTGCTACCGGAAGAAAAGAAATCACAAGTCAATAATGCATGAATCCTTGTGAGAAAGAATAGCTACATTTTGTAGGAAAATATCAATTCTGGTTATTAAATTTTTGGAGAATGCAAAACCCTGGAGTATTGAATTGGATTATGAAAACTAGAAAAAAATCAAACTATGGTTTAGCCTATTGTTGCTTTTAAAGCCTCATGCTGCGTGACTTATGTGTGTGTGAACACAATCTAGCTTTCTATATATATTTAATACAATAGCTAAGGATTTCATTTGATAGACACTCCACCAGGATTAAGCATAGTCCATACTAAACCCAGATTTCAAAAGACTCCTTGAGTGACCAAAATTCCTACAAGCTACAGTACAAACTAATATTTGTTTTAAATGAACAGATTATAAGCTAGTGAGCAAGGAGGATAAAAATGAGGCCATCAGTTTCCCAGAGTTGTTCCTTAGAGATCTCCCCACTGTAATACACATGATCCTATTCCATTTATGTTTGTATATTAGATTTATAGTTTAAAGGCTTACTTACTTGGATTCTTTATTTCATTGCTGAGTACCATCAGGCGCTCAAGCTCTGAAATTAAGAAAAAAGTTTGAGTTTTTAATTGATTTTGTCCAATGGACTCAGACATTTTCAAGCAATCTAAGAGAAAGCATTGAAACGATAACTTAAAACTCTGACCAAAATACAACACAGAATTCACATCAGCAAAATTAAACTTGTGGAGAGAAGGAAAATCTTGTCAGAACTATATTAGAAGTATAAACTTAGCAAATTGTTTAAACTGGAATTCCCAGCACCCCCAGCCTCAAACTGACTAAAAACTAATATTGCTAATTCCTCAATCACTACATGGTATAACTAGTACAGTAGACTAGGATAAAGCAGAATACTTAATAAATATGGGATTAAAAACAAGGCTATTGCAGATAACATACATATGGTATCATGGAAAGAGCACAAGAATTAGAGTAAGAAGATCTAGATGTTAATCCTGACACTTCTGATATGGATGAGGTTCTTGGGCTCTCAAGAAGATATAAACTCTGTCATATCCAGTTTTCTGAAATGACTTTGAGGAAGGGACCTGTCTGCATTTATCATTAGATGGCTAGTCTCATGGCAAACTCATGAAGATTGTCTTCTAAAACATGGAGGGTTTTAGCCTGCATCTGTGGAGACAATTTTGTTGTCGTTCAGTTGTTTTTCAGTCGCGTCTGACTCTTCATGACCCCATATGGGATTTTCTAGACAAGGATACTAAAGTGGTTTGCCATTTCCTCCTCTAGCTCATTTTATAGATGAGGAAACTGAGGCAGACAGGGTTAAATGACTTGCTCAGGGCCACACAGCTAGTAAGGCACTCTATCTACTGTGCTACCTAACTGTTGCCAGGCAGACCTTAAATGAGTTATTACTTGAACTTAGATTTTCTGACTAGAAGTCCTGAGCAAGCTCTATTCCAGGCAGAATGCCTCACACAAACATCATTTATCATTGTGACATATGGTTAATTTTTTAAATTAGAATACATTGTAAACCATGTTATTCATGGCAGAAAAACCACCTAATTTCTCTGGGTCTCAGTTTCCTGAATTGTAAAGTGAAGCAATTAGACTAAATGACCAGATGATCTCTAAGGACCCTTCCACTCTTTTGTTTTATGACTATATGATTGGGAGAGAGGATAGGAAGGGTGAGGAGGTCTATGGGGAGAAGCAGTTTTCAGATCTGAAATTTCACCCATATAAGGTTAACTCCCTGTGTGAAAACTCTGTCCACCAAGGCAGGTCAGCAGCTCCTCTGAAACTTATATAGCCTTAGAGAGTTGCCTGATGTACTGACAGGTTAAGTAACTTACTTATCTTCGCATAGCTAGTATATATTAGAGGCAAAACTTGATCCCAAGTCCCCCTAACTCCAAAGGTAGCCACTATGCTATGCTATGCTATGTTGCCTATCTGAGTATATAATGAAAATAGTAAAATATTAAACACTACCAGATTACTTTTGGCATTGAAAATTATGCCTACCGAGCTGATTTTAGTTTAAATTTGGGTCACTTACTTTTATCCATAAATTTAGATTACATCAAAATAAGGTTTAGTATAGTAAGAAAGGAAACAAACAATTATTAGGCATCTACTGTATGCCATGCACTGTACTAAGCACTTAATAAATATTATCATATTTGATCCTCATAATAATCCTGGAAATTAGATGCTATTATTATTCTCATTTTACAGTTGAGGAAACAGAGGGAAAAAGAGATAAAGCTTCATGCCCAGGGTCATATAGCAAGTATCTGAGGCCATGTTTGAAGTCAGGTCTTCCTGACTCCAAGCCTAGTGCTCTATCCACTGTGCCACCAAGCAGCCTCATCTGTGGCTCAGATTTTTCAAAAAGCTAATTTTCAGGCCCAAATATTTGAAAAAGACTTTTTATCACTTCTTTTCTAAACTTTATGTGTTTTCCTCTTATTAAACCAACCTTTGGCAATATTATAAGTTTAACACTAAAGAAGGATCACATATATATACCATTCATCACTTACCTTCCTCATCCATTACAAAACTAGATGAAATGCCATCAGTATCACTAACTGATACAGAGTAAGTTCCGATGTCTGATTTTTCTGGATTTTTTAAGTATAATTTAGAGCTAAAAATAAAAAAATAGAAAAATATATTATTATGTTAGAACTTTCTCATATTTTAAAAACAAAAACATGTTCAGGACTTACTGGTCTCCTTCAGTCTCTATATTAAACTTCTCTTGATCAGCAATCTCTTCATAAGATTTGCACCAAGTGAAGTGAGATGCATCGGTAGCCTCCGGACAGTCAAAACTTAGATAGATGTTACCATCTTCATCTACACCTGCACTTATTTCTTTAGTTCCTGCAAGATAAAAATACTGTTCAAGCATCTTAAAGATAGTCTTCAAAATTGTGTTGGTGGTATTTTACTGTGGTCTAATTTTATATTGAATCTGAAATTTTTAATTTAACATTTGAATGGAATTACCCTGATGGATTCATTCAAGCATTCATCCAACAAACATTTATTAAATGCCTAATAATGCTCTGAGCACCATGATAGATTTTGGAGAAGACATAAAATTTACTTTAGACATGGTTCCTGTTATCACAGAAATAGTTAAGACTTTTGATACCTGGGGCAAATACCTAAAACCTCGCCAGGGCCATGTGTCATGAAGTACACCCTCAAATGAGGTCAGGGCATTTGTCACTCTGCTCAAGGCTGAGACATAGGAAGCAACAGCAGGGGACACCACCATGTAAATACAAATAAGAGAAGGGGATGGGAAGAGGGAATAGATCAGTGAGAGGAGCTTATTCAGCATGACATTGGATAACTTCCTATTTTAACTAATCATTCTTGCTAGCTCCATGCTAAGGTCTGCTGTTTCTATACTGCTAAAGGACTTCAAAGTGTTATCAATGTAGACTGCCCTCAAGAATATAAGTTTGGGAGGAGGATGAGAAGACACTAGATTATAAAGACAGTATTATGTGATGACAGTATTAGAGAGCTGTTAAATGTCCTAGTATGTGAAGTACAAGGAGGAAGTTCATTCCAACAACTACTATAACCAGAGGGTAAAACACTTTGCTACACAAATATTACAGTTGGTTTTTTGTTTTGTTTTGGCAAGGCAATTGGGGCTAAGTAACTTGCCTAGAGTCACTCAGCTAATAAGTGTTGTGTGTCTGAGGTCAGATCTGAACTCAGGTCCTGTGTTCTATCCACTGTGCCACCTAGCTGCCAATGGAGTTGTTTTTAAAGGTAGATTCTACAACAGCAAGCATGATCTTGCTACCAAAGTCCTATCAAAAGGTTGAGCTTCAGAAACAGGCATGGTTTTATCAGAGGAAATGCTATTAAAGACCATGCATTACCATCTACTTTGCCACTGCAACATAAGGACTGCTAGGACTTTCCATCTGACTTGCAAACAAAACCACATATATATGTTGTTTCTTTCTTTTGGAACAAGAGCTTCATGGGAGCAGGGATTGTCTTGGTTTTTTTTTTTTTTCTATTAGAATCCCCATTATTAGAATTATTCTAATTAGAATAATTAGAATAATGCTTTGCAAACTGTTGTAATTGTTGAGTAGTTTTAGTCATGTCCAGTTCTTCATGATCCTATTTTGGGGTTTTCTTGGCAAAAATAGTGAGTGGTTTGCCATTTCCTTCTCCAGCTCATTTTACAGATGAGGAAACTGAGGCAAACAGGGTTAAGGAACTTGCCCAGGTCACACAACTAGTAAGTGTCTGAGACCAGATTTGATAAAGTCTTCTTGATTCTAAGCCCAGTGTTTTATCCACTGCACCAACTAGCTGTACATACTTTATAAATATTAAGTACTTAACGAGTTCATTTATTCATTCATTCTTCATTTTCTGAGTAGAAACCTATACTGAGGTAAATACAATCCTTACTGCAGAAATGTTGATGGCCTAGTCACCTCAAAGAAAAAATAATGGACAGCTTTTTAGGGTCATGCTCTTCCTATGTAGGAAACATTATTTGTTTCACAGTGACTGTGATGGATACTGGCATTCCTTCACAAAACAAGACTGTTTTAAAAGAATTTGAACAGTTCAACAGCTTGTGAATAATTAAATTCATACCTGGTCTAGCTTCTACAAGCACAGCTTCAGAGGTGTCAGATGGTTTTCCAACACCACTTGCATTTACTGCTCTGACTTGAAAAACGTAGGTCTTACCCTGGTGCAGATCAGTGACCTTGAAAATAACACAAGAAATGTGTTACCCATATATTTAGATAAAATGTAGTTTACTTTCTTTGTGAGTACGAGCAGTTAGTACAAGCATATCTGAATCAAAGAATAGAAATAAAATTCTAAAATAAGAATGCCTTTGCACAAAGGCACATAAACCCTGGATAATGGACCTTACATCTAAAAGAAATTACGTGAAGTCTGAAGGAAATCAGAAATTGAGCAGTTAAAATAAAAATTTAATCCACTACACTGGAGTTACACATAATCAATTTACTCCTATTCCTGCTGCTACTTCTGTTTGTGTTCCTGCTCTCTGGAATCAGACAGACTGATAGTGTAATTCTTTGTATTCATCCATCCATTTATGCTTCTTTCCATTCATTTCCCTATCAATCCACTCATTCACCTATCTGTCTATTCATGTAATTATGCTCATTGATGCAGCCACTCACCTATTCATTCATCCATCTATGTACTCACTTATTCCTCCATTCATTTATTCATTGATCCATTCTAACAAACTTCCATTGGGCAGCAATGAAACATAATATGCAAGTTTATATACAAACACACACATATATATGTGCATACACATAAACATAAATGTACATTCTTGAGCTTATCTATATAAACATATAAATCAGTCAAAAAAGGTCACAGATTGAAGTGAGGGGGTACTTCACAATTTCAAAAATCATCATGAAAAGCCATATGTTTGTAACATATGGATGTGCAAGTCTTGGACTTTAACAAGAAATATTCAGTAGTTGTTAACTTGCCTAAAGAGAAATAATTCATCTCTAGGACAGGAATAACACATCAGAAACAATTCTTTGAACAATTTTATCTTTGGGACTAGGAGCTAATTTGTTTGTCACAGATATGAAATAAAATTTCAAGGACCAAACAAATAAATAAATACCTTTAAGTAACGATTTTTAGTTGTAGCCTCATTGACTGTAATCCATTCTTCAGAACCTTCTTCCTTATAATCCACAAAATACCCTGTAATAGGACTGCTCCCACTGTACACAGGTGCTTTCCATAACATAACAAGGGATGTATTCCTGACCTCACAGAATGTCAAGTCATAGGCAGGGCCTGAAATAATCATTTATAAAAATTAGTGTAATAATTCAAAAAAGAAAACCAAAATAGGAGTTTTAGAGGGATAAATCTCATATCCATCAAGCTATTACTCCTTTATTAAAATCTTTGTATGCATAAATGTCCCTCCCATTAATCAACACTATATTAATTTCTTTTAAAATTTACATGTCATTGTTTCTTGAGGATTGTATAGGCAATATGAAGAGGAAAACAGTATCATCTAATCTAGCAGTGCAAACAGCAATATCAGATGGACAGACCACAGATACTATAACAGTATTTGTGAAATATTAAAAGGACAAGAGGATGAATCCTAGCGTGTTGAGTAGATTTGATACGGAACATTTATGGAAAGACAAAAATAATAATCTCAAACAAGGTAATGTGTAGAGGTTTTGTGATTTTCATGGTGGCAGGGATATCCAACATTGATGACATCTTGAATCCCTAAAGCTCTAGAGCAAGTGTAGGCAGTGACATCTGTGAGAATCTATTTCCTGGGAGAAACAAAGGAGAAATCTAGATTAATTATTGTCTAAAGTCTTCACTAATAGTCACTGAGGGTAGAGTTGACTTGCTTAGAAATAACTCATTAGTTAATGTTGCTCACAAAAGACATTCATCTAAGTATCACATTCAGGAAATTTGTGGAGAAACGAAAGCTGTGCTATGTTTCCTGTCTACCAGATTGGAAATATTTGAGTCTCGCTAAAAAATCATTCCAAAAACTTGGTCACCTCTGTCAGACCTCTCCCTCTTTCCATAAATACATTAAAATTCTCATTGGCTGATTCCCTAACATCAAAGCAATAACAAAAGTATATGACAAGTTAAGTCAGGAATATGTCCATGCATAAAAATGTAGAATTCTTGCTCATTCTCCTATATTATGATAAATATATGACCCCAGTGATGCAGGTATTATCTCCAAAAATGTAAATTTGAAAGCCACCTATCCCCACTCATCTAACATGAGTCTTTATATTCCCAAAAATCCTCTTTAAGAAATCTAATGAATGTGCTGATTTTTCCTTCTAATTATTTTTTTAACATTGTATAAATCCCAAAGAAGCACACATGCTGTTCATTGGTCATGCCTTTTTCTTGCTATATGACTGGCCCATCTTCTTTTATAGAAATATATCTCTCTTACTCATCATCTAAATTAAATCATACTTTGCTCTTTGTGTTGTTGTTTCCATGACAACTTTCAAAGAGGCCTGGAACTTATATAGCTCTTTCATTAGCTTTTCAATGAGGCAAAAATTAATTCTACTAAATCAAGTAGCTACAAAGTGAGAGTAATATAATCAGGCCATAGGACTGAAAGCTAGCTTAGAATTGATAGGTTGTATTTTTTAACTACAAATAAATATATATATATATATATATATATAATCTTCTAATTGTTTTCTAAGCCCAACTCCAGTATCTCAATGTGGTATTCTCAAGGACAATTCAAACAGTGTATAAGTTCTGGTGGATCCTACAAGCTGGAAAATTTTGGGGTATAATTCCAGAGATGCAATATGTCTATCATTTGAATATCAGCTTATTGAAGTTCAAAGAGGCTGGTGATCAGGTTAGAACATTGATCATAGGTAATGAAGTTTTTTGCCCATGGCAAATGAATAAAGACCATCAGTGAAGGGATAGAAAAGCTGAGTTGTGATCTGAATGGAGAAAGTGCTAATGAAATCATCCATCCTTAAAGCATGGAAGTACTTAGCATATTAACCAGCAGTTCAATGTTAACCTGACTTAGAAAATTAACCACTTAGATAACAATAACAAGCGCTAACACTGACATAACACTTTAAGTATTTTACAAAGCACTTTAAATATGTTATCTCATTTGCTCCTTACAATAGTCCTGGAAGGTAAGTACAATTATTATCCCTACTTAATAGATAAGGAAGTTGGGGCTAAGAGAGGTCAAATGTCTTGCATAAAGACACACAGCTAGTAAGTGTCTAAGGCAGAATTTGAACTCAAGTCTTCCTGACTCCAAGCCCAGCAATCAATGTACCAGCCACTTATTTTAAAGATTATCCATTTCAATGCACTCATTTAATAGCTGGGAACAAAAGAGGTGAAATTACTTGCCTAAAGCCATAATCAGTGAGATTAGAAATCAGAATTCAATTTCGGATATGTTGAGTTTAAGATGTCTATAGGATATTCAGTTTGAAATGTCCAATAGGCATTTGGAGATAGGAGACTGCAGGTTAGGAAAGAGATTAGGGTTTAACAAGTAGATCTGAGAATGATTAGCAAGGAGATGATAATTCTATGACTTTTACAGAGCATTTTAAGGTTTTCACATCCCTTTACATGGATTCATCTCATTTGAGTCTCATAACACTTCTATTATCTAGGGTGAGTCATTTCAGATATCGTTATCCTTATTTACAGACAAAGAAGTTGAGGACCAATAAGGTTATATGAATTGCCCAAAGTCCATTAGTAAGTATCAAAAGCAGAATTTGAACCAGATAGGTTTTCCTGATTCCAAATCTATCACTCTATTCAAAACACCATGCTCCTCTCTAAGTATATATGACTTGGTTTGAAGGATTGTATCAGTTTCTTCATAGGATTCTTCTACTTAATAATTCTTTGCAACAGATGTTGGCACATAAGTTGCAATGATATTTTTGCTTCTAAGTGTTGAATGATAAAATGACCAAGTGTCCAAAGAAATTGTTTCTTATTGCATATGAGCACACAATGTAACCAATTCTCTCTACCACTTCTTGAGCCTCTTCAAGGAGAATCTCTGCACCATTTAGCTCCAAATTCCTTTTGTCTTCTGATTGTATCATGACATTATCAATATTTTTGTTCTTCTAACAGTATTCCTATTAATTAGATAAAAATTTCAAATTTATCTATAGTATAGTGTTCTATAGTAGTAGTGTTCATAAACAGCCTAAATACTTTGCAACACTCAGTACCTTCTGCTACATTAAAATTTTTTTCAAAGATTTATTAATCTGTTTTGCTTATCCTTTACAAAATTTTACATATTATCCCCCACTCAAAACAAAGTCTTTCGTAACAAAGTAAAACAATTGAGTATAACTAATAATCCAATGACTTTATCTGAAAGTATATGCAATTTTCCAAATCTGTAGTACCTCAAACACACAACTCTCTATGCTTTTTTAATTAATAAAAATCTATTTCTCCTTCCCCTACCCCACTGGAAAAAAGAAAAGAAAATTCTTTGTAACAAATGTGAATTGTCAAGCAAACAAATTCCCTGAGGGGCTATATACATGGTTATATCCCATGCCACATCCTAAAACTGTCACTTTCTATCATGGACATCATGTTTCATCTTCAGTCCTCTGGAATCATGAATAGTCATTGCTTTGATAATTCCTACAACTACCATGCTTTTGTTATTGTATAAGTTGTTCTCTGTTCTACTCACGTCATTCTTCATTAGTTTATAAAAGTCCTCAAAGTTGTTAATTTTCATCATATTGATCTCATGGTATAAATTGTTCTGCTGGTTGTGTTTACTTCACTCTGAATCATTTCATATAAGTCTTTTCATTTCTTTTTGCAGTCAAGTATTTCCTCTTTTTTTTTAACAGCACAACAGCACTCTATCACATTCACATATCACGTTAACCATCATTCTACCACTAACCCCTTTAGAAGCAGAAATAGGCCACAAAATGCTGGCAGTCATTTTGTAGTTTTACTTGTATAGCTTCTATATCTAAAAATTCATCACCTACTAGCCATTTTTCTAGTAATCATCCTTTCTGTACTTAGCAAGGCATCTGTTCTTAGCTACTTAGAGAGCAGACTCAGTCTGACCCTGTGACTGTGCTTAAAGCCTTTCTAGCATGACAAGATCTGCTAGAACTCATCCTCCACTGTTATAGTTCTGGAGAACCCAAAGTCATCCCCATGCTAAATTGAGGCATCAGAATAGGGCTTTGTATACATATACACACATAAAGGTCAACACCCAGACCTTTAGGTAATATTGTCAAAGCTAAAGACCAGTATGTTTGGTCTACTTTAAGCTATGCAAAAAAAAAAAAATACACAGCACCATAGGACTCCTCCATTCAAGTGTCTCATCATCTCATCAGCTAATTGTACTTATTACTAATAATTTTGAATTAACAGAACATCTAAATTGTAATAGTAACAAAGGAAAATTTAAAATAATTTTAATAATTTACATTTATGTTGATTTAAGGTTTACTTAGCCCTCTTCTTATAAGAAATTTGTGAGAGTGTTAGTACTAGTCTTATTATCTCAACCTTACATATGAGGAAACTGAGGCAATAGAGGTTAAGAGAATTGTCCAAAGTCATATGGTCAGTAAGTATTAGAAACAGTTCTCTCTAGAATTCTTGTCTGTATCTTATTTTTCCTACCCAACTTTAAAATTTTTATAATATTGAATAAAGCTCATTAACTCTTCTAATATGTAATGCACTTCACAAAGAACTTCCACTAAGCCCCTCTTCTATAACTCATTATGGAATAAAAGTGACTCTTGAGTTCAATTAAGTTTTGCCAGCAGAGGACAATTTCTGGCAGATCATAGTAAGATGAAAAGACTCCAGGTTGGGCCCAGTAGTGAACTGTGACAAATTCATTACCAGAAAGGGGAAGGGAGGAGAGAGATTACTGATAAATTATTCTGGCCACCGAAACCCAGGAAGTCCATCTACTTAAGCATTGGTGGACAGAATGCCCATACTCACGAAACCATGGATTTTAAAGGAGAAAATATATTGTAATACAAAGAAAACTGAACATGGAATCAGATAGCTGACATTTAAAACCTCAGTGCTGGTATATACTAACTTTAAAACAAGGCAAATCCCTTCACCAACCTTGGCCTCACTTTGCTCATATGAAAAATGAGTAAGTTGAGCCTCTAAGGTCCCTTTCATCTCTAAATCTTACTATCCAAAACCTGACTCGGCCACTTACTAAATGTATGACCTTGAAAAAGTCACTTAACCACTGGAGGCCTCAATTCTGTCACTCAGAAAATTAGGGGAATGGACTCTAAGGTCGCTTCCATCAATAAGCTCTTCTAGAATCAGATATAAAGTTTTATTATTTTGATATTGAAAAAAATATCTGTGAAAAGTAAGCTTATAAGATAAATAAACATCCTTAAGGAAATTTGAAGACAATATCAATATTCAGAAATCCCACAAGGATTTCAGAAACCTCTTACCAGGCTCTGGCATTGTCCAAGCCTCACACTTAAAGTGCTCGCTGGGATCAGATGGCTGTCCTATACCAACCAGATTGGTGGCAGCAATTTTGAATTCATAAAATGCTTGCTCTGTCAAGTTCTCCACCTATTTTGAGAAAAAAAAAATAGGAAAAAAAACCAATATGGAATTTTAGATTGTATAACAAGTCAGCAGAAAACAGTGCTTATAATTCATTTGCCACATGCAACAAATAAATACCAAGGCTTACTGGTGAGGTATGCTGCCAATTTAAGGAAAGTTTTGACACAACATACAAAATAATAAAGTTCTTTCTGCCTGCATATGTCAAAGAGGAAAGAGCTGGGAATAAGAAGACTTGGAATGTAGTCCCAGGTGCATCACAAATTAACAAAGTGACCTGAGTCAAGTCACATTAAGGATTTGGGAATTTAGACCTAAAAGGGACTTTAGATAAGCCTATATATTTAGGATTATAGATGAAGAAACTATTAGTCAGAACTAGATATACTGAAAGGCTTGTCCAAAGTCAAACAAATAATAAGGAACAGAGCCAGAATTCAAACATAAGTTCTTATTCCTAGTCAAGGGCCTTACCCCTTTCCATTGACTCTACACCTTTCAGTTCCACAATCCATGACTTGTAATCTCTATGATTTAGATAGTCAGCCAGGTGGTCCTTCTTATGAGGATATTCAGGATAGGCTATTACACAAAAACAAGGGGTAAAGATTTTGACCCCAAATGGAACAGGAAAGGCTTAGGAAAATTCCAATGACCAATGGGATCTGAGCCATGGTGTAGACTGCTTGGGGTAATAAAAAGAACACTGAACTGAGGCAGGAAAGTTGCCTTCTATCACTGTGCCTAGCACTAATTTGTTGTATGGCCTTGAGTAAGCATCTGTGGGCCTCAGTTCTTTATCAGTAAAATGAGAGAGTTATACAAAATGATCTCTTACAATGTTAAAATATTCTCATTTGATTCCATGATTCCACAATTTTGGGAGGAAGGGGAGACCTAATTGTATCCATGTGCCACACCAATTTCAGTGAATTCTGGAACATCTGATATTGAATGACTGCCAAAAACAAAAAAGGCAAAAATGTTTTTCAGATGGATAGAAGAGAAAAATTAAATGGATACAAACTGTAAAGATCCTTTCTTTGATTGGAGAAGAATTGACTTCATGCCAGTTATGATGATGCTTCTCCCGTTTGTCTATGTAGTAACCAAGTATTGGTGATCCTCCACTGAATTTTGGCACCTTCCAACCAAGAATCATTGACTGGCCATCACAGTTGAGAAGTGTTATTCCATAAGGATGTGATGGAACAGCTAGAAGAACAAATATGTGGAAAATTATGAATATCATAAATAACAACTCACCTATTTTCATCTCATTCCTCACAACAATCTTGTGAGGTCAGTAGCGTTCAATTATCATTATCCCTGTTTTATAGATGAAGAAAGGGAGACCAAGGGAGCTGGGTGGTTTGCCCAAGGTCACACAGGCCATAAGTGCAAGAGTTAGAACTTGAACTTCTGACCACAAGAGCAGTCCTCAGTCTACTACAATATATTCTCCACCTCTTTATAAACTGTGTAAAGGATTAATACTCATTTTTAAAATACTGTCAAATAATGAATTCCAGGTTAATAAGGAGATAATTATCCAATTGATCTTTTGCCCAATCCTGTAGTCACTAGAATAGCAGAGATTACTATGTTCTTTGCATATGCCTAAGTGAAGCTTTCCCTGATGTATACACAGTAGTTCTAAATGCTATTTACTTTTTTTTTTTTTTGGTGAGGCAATTGGGGGTTTAAGTGACTTGCCTAGGATGACACAGATAGTGTCAAGTGTCTGAAGCCAGATTTGAACTCAGGTCCTCCTTATTCCAGGGCCAGTGCTCTATCCACTGCACCACATAGCTGCCCTTCTCTATTTCCTTTTTGAAATTCCTCTAGTGGAATGTAAGTTCCTTGAGGGCAAGGGTCATTTTGTTTTAAATTCTGTACCCAATTTCTAGTGCCTCAAGAAAAGGGTAAATCCTAATAGTTTTTAAGTTGAATTGAATTACTGCCTGATTTTCAGCTAGAAGTTCCCTTCTTCATTCTTTCCCTCCTTCACCTTTATTTGGGCCCTATATAGCACTCTAAGAATTGGATAGTGGACTGCTGTTCTCCTGTATAATTGAAGCAATAATGTATACTCTGAACCTCTAAGCCTGCATGGGACCTTCTCATGCTGAACAGGAGGAACTGGCTGTCCACATGTACACAAAGCTATACTTTGATGAGGGAGAAGTGATGAAGAAGGATCCAATGCAGAGGGCAAGTTATATTGTATCTAACCCTCAGGGCATGTTACACTGTCTTCACCTCTTATCATCTTCTGACAGCTATCAATTGGCAACAAGCCAACCACCTTGGCAAACTAGGCAATTATAGCAATTCCCAACTGGCCCAGTTACTGATTGCCATTTTGACCAGTGAATTATGCTGGTGGAAAGGAGGAGAGGCCATGGCTTCCCACTATTATTCTGTTCTCCAAATAAAATTACTTTTAGGAATCTATTAGTACAAAGAAAGTTCCAGCAAATGGCCCACTCATGACTTTTCCTAGACTTTTTTTTGTCCTATCTTATCCAAGGGTGGGCCATTTCTCTACTTTAGATCTCCTTTAGAGAGATGCCAAAAGAGAGTATTAGCAAAACTCAAACTCCTTTCATTTCATTTGCCACATCTTCCCATATTATTCATTGCCTTTTAGGATTTAGAACTGTAGGGAATCTTAAAGGTTACATCCTCAGAAAGGTAGTAAAACAGTAGAGCCAAAATCAAGCCCAAACTCTCTGATGGAAATCCAGTGTCCATACCAGTATATCACATAGAATTCTCACAGTATTATAAAATAATTTTAATTACCCCACATCTATTCTAGCAGCTTGAAGCAACAAAAGATCTCTTTCAGTATGAATATGTTAGAGAAAGGGAGGTAAATTAAGATCTACTGGCATAAAGAATAACAAATGGTTGCTTTATACTTAATGATGTTTATATTTCTTATTACATATGGCTTCCTATTAGTCTACTATCCTGTGGAGTCTTCTGAATAATTTACATAAGAATTAGTTTGTACCCACCTTTAATCGAGCCTCCATTTACAAATAAGCACTATTTACCCAGCAGGTTAAATTGAAATGCTAAAAATTAGTCCCTCACTGGCACATTCTGTGTCTTTGAGGAAGTTGTACTTAGAGCCTCCTCTCTCCTCTCATTAAGCTGAGTAAATGGGAGTTGAATAGAAATTATTTTCATTACACAATAAATTGCCAGAAAATTGGCATTGATTTACTAAGAATCACTTAAAGTGGTGAATGAGAATATTTTAATGCCACCTATGGCATATGAGAAACCAAAAGGGGGATTAGAAAAATGATTCTTTGCCTAAAGAGCAATATAGTTTTTGCTATCATGTTGACTCAAAAATATCAGTTCAAAAGTCCTTAAACAATGTCAGAAAAGACATACACCTAAGATGAAATTATACCTTTCCTAATCTGTTTCCAAATTTACTTTGGAAATTTGGAAGGTAGAAGATAGAGATTTTTTTTTTTTTAGAATTCAATTCACTTCCATAAATAATTAATTAAGTGCTATGGGTAAAAAGATAGTGATGACATAGATATTGCTCTCAAGGAACTTAAAATCTAATAGGGAGAATAACAATTACACAAACAGTTGTAAAATTGGCAGAAGTGAGCAAAATGCAAAGAAAAGATCCAGGTAAATTGCTGTAAGAAATCCAATGAGGTCTTAGTATATTATCATAATTATTGATAAAATTAATCTTTTGCAAAATTTTCTAAAATCTTATTGCTAATCTATAAATTAACTCTGATTTGCTTATTTGGTCCTAAATAATAAAAGGGATAACTAAAATAATAATTATGAAGTCACAGAATACGAAGTACTCTAATCTTTCACCCCTCTCTGAAATTTAGAACCTGAATTAATCTGTTTGACTAGCTACATTGATCAAGCTACCTGGATAATTGGCAAATTTCTTCTGCTATGTAGACATAGCTGCATAGTAAAAGCTCAATTACATGAACATTATAAACTCACTAGAGTGATAGATTGGAGTTCCTTGATTTAAGAATGACTCAGAAAGTTACTGAAGCAGTGCAATTCTTGCATACATCTGGGAAGACAAGTGCATTAAAGCTTCTACCATAACTTTTACTATCAGTACAGCCGTTCTGAAACAAATGTGACCTCTAATAATTTTTTCTCTATTTTTAATTTGCACTTTATTAGCACATTATCATTTCTCCCTCTCACACTGGCATTTCCAGGACAAGTGGCCAACTGATGAGACGTTTCAACAGGAATGTATGTTCTCTGTACAACAATTTACATCCTCCTTTTTCCTTTGGTAATATTCCAAATGGCATCATAAATGTTTATTCATGCAGAAATTAAAACTTAGTGAAGAACTGAAAAATGGAGCCAAAGAGCACATGAATTACTTACTGAGGGCAGCCTGGACTTTTATTACATCAGACTCTTGTGAGTTTTCACTAGTCCCAATAGCATTAACAGCTTTAACACGGAAGATGTATTGCTCTCCAGTAGTTAAACCATGAACAACAAACCTGATAAAAACATATGAATCAGGGTATTGTTTTCAATGTTTTATCTATTTTCTCCTATGCTATGAGCAGAAATCATTCCCAATCTTTCATAAATATTATTCATTTGGACTGAAATGAAGTCCACTTTTTGAGTGCCTTATAAATAGTATACTGCATATCTAATTTCTTTTTCCCATGACCATTATTTTAAGTCTACTAAAGTCAATATGCCAAGATCAAAATAGAAGATAAAAGCACTCAGTTCTACCAGGTTCTAATACAAATCAGCTTCTCTCTAAAAGTGATGTTACTACACATTTAATATGGACTAGAACTTAGGGCAATCACTCCCTTTTTCCTCTAAGTGACCTTTGGAAAGTCTGGAAAAGCAATGGTAGTAGTCACTTTCAATGTGACTTCCCCTTCATTCCTACATTTTCTGGATTTGTTTCACTCTGAAGGAACTGAATAAGAAGAATACTGAGAGGTACTCCTGTACCCCAAAACCATTATTACCCTAGTCAAGCTACCAATCCAAAGAAGAAAGTAATATTTTGAAATTAGATTGTGTGAATATCTAACAAGTAGTTTAAGTATTGCAATTTTTATTTATTTGATTTAAATAATGTACATAAAGACAGATGGATGATATGTATCGATATTTATCTATGCCATGATTGTTGGCCTTGAACTATAAGCTCTTTGAAAATAGATGACATACCCAATAAGATATTTATCATAAATTACTTGAGGGAGGGGATGATGGTAATGATTACGATAACACCTTCATTACATGGAGCTGTGGCATTTTTCTATTAGTTTAAGTATAATAACTTATATAACAGTATTTACTCAGGGATGTAATTACATGGGTAATAGAATATAAAATGTGCAATCCTATAATTAGAAGAATACACAGAATATAAAATGCTTGATAATTTCTATTTGGAAATTACTATTGTATTCTAAGGTGTTTTGTTATTCTGAATGCTTCTTTTCATTATATAAGGAATTTCTCCTGTGGAAATGATCTCAATGAATATAGATTGGCAGCTTATCTGTCACTTACAATTTTAAACAATTCCTTGGGGTAGTTATTAAACAAAAATAAATTATGTTTAAGACCATGACAGTGAATACATGTGTTGACAAATGTTCCCCAGAGAGCCACATTCTCCTTTTAAATATGTCAACCAATTAACTGATAAAAAATTCAGTTCCTCTCATTTTCATCCAAATTGTATAACTTATATGTTACATGTTTAGATCCTATTGTCAAAATTCTTAAAAAGGTGAAAAAAAAACAAAGTTAAATTGAGAGTTACTATGAAGTAAATATGAGGAAAAACTCTATTATAACATTTTAAAACCATTTACAGGGAGAATTTTAGTATATTTCAATACCTGAAAATCTTACAAGGAGCAGAGGCAAAACTTGAAAGTAGTTATAAGCATTATATCATCATTAATATCATATATTACAATAATGTTCAATTATATAAATAACCTGAAAATCAGAAGTCTTATCATTTTTTAAAAATTAGTGAAACTGTGAAGTTTAAAAAAAAAACTTTTTTATCAAGTGCCATTGATGAAGGTCTAATATAGGGAACTAACACAACTATATAAGAAAAAAAAAACATTCTCTATAGATAAGTGGTCAAAGGATATAAATAGCTTTTAAAAGAATGGCAAACCATATATGAACCTATAAAAATTGAATTAAGGCTATTGGTGACAATGCAACATATTCTAACTGTTCTAGATTTTAATTTGGTTATCAAAAAAAAAAAAGGTGACTAACTGTATATACTTTGTGACCCAGCAATCCCACCACTGAAAATATGCTGTAAGAGGGTCAAAGGCAAAAAAAGGCTTAATATGTAGCAAAATATTCATAATTGTGCTTTTTGATGTGGTATATAACTAAAAACAAAGTAGGTGCATATCAATTCTGAAATGACTTAACAAATTGAAATATAGACTTATACTACACATTTATAAAAGTAAATGTAATGGGATATCATTACACAATAAGAAATGTTAAATGTGAAGAACTTAGAGAAACATGATTTGTGTGAACTGATGCAAAATGAAATAAATAGTACGATGACTAAAACAATGTAAATAAAGGGATCATAAAAAGGGGACCAAATGCTGAATAACTTAAAAAAAAAACAACAACAGTTGAGGAGAACAGATAATGATACATATCTCCTGCCTCTTGTCAGTGAGGAAGGGTACTAGCAGGAAAGAATGTTATTCAACCTGATCACTATATTGGGTATTTTTGCTTAATTGATTTTCTTTGTTTAAAAAAATAAAATTCCAAGGTGAGCTGGGACAAGAGGAGGATATTTTCAACTATGACTGTGACCCCAAAACAAAAGGCAATTAAAAAAAATTTAAGAGAAGCAAAGGGCCTAGAACTTCAGTCTAAATATCTCACTTTATGAAAGGTAGAACCTTTTGCTGGATGGAGAAAAAGCTTCTCCAACTCTTCTTTCCCATGAGCCTCTTTCCTACCCATAACTTATAACTAATGTGTTTTTTAAAAAAAAGCCAACTATAGTTGGCAACCTATGACATCCTACTACTTTTGACTTTATAACTTTTATCTGTAGCTCTGTCACACTGATCATATAAGGATCACAGAAAGAATTGGGGAAGGGATAAATAGAGCTCAAAACTATTGAAGAGCAGCACGAGGAATCCAAAGTTCTTGGAAGCTAAGAGCATACCAGAATGCTGGTACTGATCCTGTGTTAACTTCTGCCTCAAAACAAAACAAAAGACTACTTGTTCCTTTTCCAGTTATTAATCAAAGTGACTGTGGAGCAAATTTACAAAACAAAACAAAACAAAACAAAAACTATATCTCTCCATTTAGGCTGTATTTACCTACCAAAAAACTCTGTTAGATATCAGAAAATTCTAAGGTATATGTTGTATTTTATTAACTCCTCATTTATATAGATGAAGTGAAAGGGAAAGAGAGCCTTCCTTGAATTAGAGATATAAAATATGTGGTACAGAGGCATGTGGCAGAGTCATTAGGGCAAAGTAGGGACAAAGAGGAGATTAGTATTAAACTGATACAAGCCTGTTAAAGAATCCTAAAATCTAAATACCACTAGATTTACAAAAACAAGAAGAAAATAAATTTTGTAATAATCCCCAGGCTGCAAGAAACAAAAGGAAAACTTAGGCATTTTTATTTGTCACTTCCAGGAAACTATTTCATTTATTTACTTTGTAAAGAAAGCCACTTCTCTACAAAAGGAACAGAAATTATTTGGAAAGGGTAAGTCAAAACTCCAGGGGAGGAGGATGAGCTGCTAAGGAAGTTCTACCCACCAACAGGAAGGACCCAGTCTGGGCGATTTCAGACAGGTCCCCTGGCTCAGAGGATTAGTGGCTGCTCAGTCTATCTTGCTTACCAATAACAATGATGGCATAGACTTTTTTTTTCCTTTTTTTCTTTCACTGTTTCTTTTAGAGTGTCTCATCTATATAGTTAGTACCTATGCCATAGGAAAAGACAAAGAGTCATAGGATCGTAGATTTAGGGTTGGAAGGAACCTTAAGAAATCTTCTGATATAATCCTCTCTCATTTTGCAGGTGGGTAAGTGGTTCACCAAAGACCGTACAGGTAGTATGTACATACCAGAGGGGATCTTTGGATATATAGCTTCTGACTCCAAATCTATTACTCTTTCCAATTGACTACCCTGTCTCTCCTTGCAAAGTTGCAACTTCCCTAATGTAAGGGAAGGGTGTGATAGTCATTCCTTCTTCCAGTGACCACCTCTACCACAGAGGGTTACCCCCAATCACTTTATAACAACTTGGAATATGAAAATTGGGCTAATTGTGTACTGTGAACATGGGCTCTGCAATGACCATACTATATGTTAGAACTTCCCTTCTTCACAGGAAAGCAGGGCAATGGAGTCACACAACAACCAGCCAATTAGAAGACTTCTGAGACTCAGAGCTGCTTGACATACCAGTGATCCTTTGTGAGTGAATGCTAACTGAATTTGGAAATGCCAGTAGCTGTGAGAAACCACAGAACCAGCCTTCATCAGTTCAAGGGTAGCCTTGAGCAAAAGCTACAGACTCAAGACCTTGCTCAGGACTTTGTAAACATCCTGCTGATTGGTTTACTGTGTCTACAGATGTCATCTCCCTTCACCCTCAGTCCTGCCCTGAAATCCTCTAGAAACTATAATATCTCACCCTTTTATACATTTCCCTTTGAGCAGCTGAGAACTCTTATCTCCCTCCCTGCTCTCTTATAGAATCTTCTCTTCCCTACAAGTCTTTTTCTCAAACAATAAATGTTTTTAATTGGTGATCAGACTCTGTTTCATTTCAGGTCCCTTTGTGGGCCTGGGGGTCTTTTGTTAATAGTACTAGCAAGCAAAATGTGAAAGTCAGTAAGGGAATATTGAACTCCAGAACTACTTTTATATTTTAGTACTATTTACTATTTAGTACTAAAGTAAATAGTACTTTATTCAAAGAAAAGTTTTGCATCTTGGTTATGGGTTCTTGAAGGAAAATATTTGATGTTTTGATCTTTTCTATCACAAAAGACCAAACACATTCATTTTATTCACCCTTTCAATAAAAATATCAACAAAACATATCAAATTTACACGCCAAGCTTTGAAAGTAAGAATTATTTGGGTTATAAATGAGTAAGCATAGTTCTTTAAAATGAGACTGTCATTTTGCTTCTTGCAAATATGAAAGGCATTTCATTACAATAGTAACTTCAATAACACAAGAAATTGAAAATTTTGTATCGTTAGTTACCTGTTGTAATCAATAGGTTTGTGATTACAGGGTTCCCATTGGTTTGTCCCTGCCACACAGTAGTCCACATAGTAGCCTATTAGATCTTCTTCTTGTTTGGGTTTATCCCACTGAACCACAACAGATGTTTTTGTGTTCCTTGAAGCAAGCACTCGACCAGGAGCAGAAGGGGCAACTACATGGATAAGATTGAAAAATAGTTTTATATTGGGAACATATAATAAATATAGGCAAAATAGCTATGCTTTGTAGTTAGTGTCTACCGTATGGGACAATTACAGTAGCAATGCTTTAGAAGAGGAAGCCAAGCCTCTCTCCACAACAAGATCAGATGTATATTGTGGTTTGTATCTTTGAAAGTTGAAGAGAAATAGGATATGAGGATTACAAAAGAAGGATAAAAAAGGATATATAAAAAGGATAAAAAACTGACATATCCTAAGACTTCTTTTTTACAAATCCTCTTCTGTAAATTTTCCTAATCCTACATCGCTAAAGAGAAAACAACCAAAATCATATAAATGCAGATTTATCCAGAATCATTGAAGATTAAGATCTTTTGGTTAAATAGTACAGTTAACTGAGTTACAGATGCTTCATTTGTTTAAATTTAATTATCAATTTCTAATGAATTTAAATATAATTGAATTATCTAAACATTTGAATTATCCTAAGTAGAATTACTTTTGCATATGGTATAAGTTGTAAGTTCATAGAAGTTACAAGATAGAAGATACAAGATGGAGATAGAAGATACAAGGAAGAAGATACAAGGAAGAGATAGAAGATACAAAAAGATCCTGAAGGGACAGAACAATAGACTGAATCTAATATGATTGCATCTAATAGAAATGAACTTAAAGTCTTATAGTTGGGTTCAAAAATATCAACCTTATAAATTCAAAATGGGAGAAATGAGATAAGGCTGAAACTCATCTGAAAAAATACTTGGGAATTCAGCAAACTTCAAAGTCAATATAAAGCAACAATATAATATGACAACCAAAAGTGCTAAGGAAATCTTAATCTACCTTTAGAAAAGCACTAAACCTATTGGGGTGGGGGTGCCAATTGTTAAAAAGAAGATCGATAAATTGGAATGCATCCAAAAAAGAGAAAACAGGTTGGTGAAGAGCCTTACAGTACTGCAACATTTGGATCAAAGAAATTTTGTTGTTGTTCAGTCTTTTACAGGTATGTCCAAGTCTTACTGACCCTATGGACCTCTGTCCATGATGTTTTCTTAGCAGATACTGGGAGTTTTTGGTATTTCCTTCTCCAGTGGCAAAGACAGGTTAAACAACCTGCCCAAGGTCACAACTAGAAAGTTTCTGGGGCTGGATTTGAACTCAAGTGTTCCTGACTCCAAGTCCAGTGGTCTATCCACTGTACCACCTAGATAAAAGAAATGTGGGGCTCCAAAAGAAAATGAGTCATAGGGAGAGCATGATAATTATAATGAAGTATTTGAGGAGTTACCATGAAAAAAAGGTTAAAGTTGGGATTCCCACAGGGCAGATCAAAGAAGTTCCAGAGAGGCATATTTAGGCTTGATGTAAGAAAAAACTTCCCAACAATTAAAGCCTAAATGTACGCCCCCTACAGCTCCCACAAAGAAATAGTGGGCTACCTTGTAAGGTAGCAAGTTCATCATTACAAAACGTTTCCCTGTGAATGATCAAAGACCATTTGTTAAATATTTTAGAACATTGGCCATGGATTGAAACAGAAAAGAGAGCCTCTGATGTATCTTCCAACTCTGGATACTATTTTTCTATGATTAATGTTGGGTTGGTTTAGTTTGATTTGGTTTTGGTTTTAGTTTTCTGATCCTTTCAATAGTCCTTTGAGGATTATAGTATCCAGGAGTTGTCACTACAGCTAGGTCAATTAGTCCCAATAATGAATCCTGTGAAGTAGTCACATTATTTGAATATCCACTATTCAAGGTGATAATTACATGTAAAATATGGTAATTGGTTTCAGTAGAATGGAAATATGCATTGAAAATTTTTAAATAATTTTATCTATTTATTAATATAAGAGCAAAGGATAATAAATATCTTTCAGATTCAAGTTTATTACAAGGTAATGAAATAAAGGAAGTAAAATTTAATAATTTTAAAAATTACTGAATATCATACCTAGAGATAAATTTAGATTGAAAATATGACAAAAATGTTTTTATTTTGGTTTAAAATATTTTATCAGCATAAACTGAACTCTCTACTCTCTCTGTAAATCTTCATACATACACTGGTAGATATAGAGAGCCTTATCTACATCTCAGCAGATTTGTATGCCCACATTCTCACACAATGAACCAAGTGTAGTCGGAAAACCAATATAAGGGTTAGGCAATCCTTAGAAACTTTAAATCAAGGATGAAGTTTTTTTTTTTCTTTCTTAGAAATGTAAGTTCTAGAGGGCATCCTTTTCCAGAATAAGCTTATTTCATCTGTATTAAAAATTTGTTAATCAGAATATGGCAATCTTAACACTATGCAATTGAACTCCATTTTTAGAGTGATCAAATCAACCAATGTTTGCAGGAAAAATTTCTTCACTATTCATTTACATTTTCTTTCACTGCCTTAAAAATATGTCAAGTGGCTACCTAGGCTATATGTAATCTTACTTCAAATGATTTGCATTCTAACCATTCAAATTTATGTAGCACTCCAATTTATCCTATATTTATCTCATTTGTATATAGTTCTTTTCAATTTGTCTCTCCAACTAGAGTGAAAGTCCCTCGAGTGTGGGGACTGTTTAGGTATGTTAAATATCCATAGATTAGCACAGTCCCTAATACATAGTAGCAGCTTTCTAAATGCTTATTGGTAAGACTGACTTTGCAGTTTTCAAAGTGTTATTTTTTCCACAACAATCTCAAGTGATATGTAATATAGTTATTGTAATTTCCATGCTACAGATGAGAAAACTAAGGTCTTGAGAGGGTAAATTATAGCTACAGTCATGCAGTAAGTAAATGCTGGATCCAGGCCTTAAATTCAAGTCTCTGGACACAAGAACCAGCACTCTCACTACTACAATTTAAGGTCTTTCACAAATTTAAATAAAATTTATATAACAAAACATACCATAAATCTTACAATTATTCTCCATAGAATGACTTTGATAAAGGGTGGAAAGAAAGAATAGGAAAGAAAGAAGTAGGATAAGAAAAAAAGACATTGAATTTTTAATACTTACTCAAATTCATGTTATTTTATGATTGTATGCAGTCTTTGATTACTCACTGTCATAACTTACCAATCACGTCTTGTGCCTGAATTGGTGCAGTAATTTCTGAAGGGTCACTGATCCCATGTTTATTTGCTGTCAAAACTCGAAACACATATGGTTTCCCTTCTGCGAGATCAAAAACGGCGTAGCGAGGAGATCTCACCGCTGTCTGGGAATTGACCCGTTGCCAGCTCCCACTACCAACCATAGACTACACAAACAATAAAAGCAACAAAAAAGTGTTTTAGAACTTGATAACTTTATCAAAATTAAAATTTCTATATCAATAAGCTTGAATTTTAAAAACCACTCCTCTATTACTAATATTTCTCAAATATACAGGCTAGGATTGCATGGAAAGCTTTGCCAGGCACTCCTAAAATATTTTATAAACCTATTTATTTCTTGTCTAATTAATTGATATTTTTACATACAATTGTAAAATTATTTTTGGTAAGGGAGAAACTAATTGTAGTTAAATATGTCTTTGATTAGTTTATACTTGTGTTTTGCCTGAAAGTAAATTATTGACATAAATCAGCATGCACCAAATAAAAATTAAGGAATTGGATGGACAAATGATATTACTTGCACTTAACTAAATATTAGGAAACTGAAGATGATACTGTTTTACCTTTTTACCAATGACTTGGATAAAGGAAAAATGCCATGCTTATCAAATTTTCAGACGATATAAAGCTGAGAGCGATGGAGTCAGGATTTCAAAAGATTGAAAGATCCTAAAACTTTAAGCCAAATCTAATAAGATGAAATTAAATAAGGATAAATTTGAAGTCTTATTCTTAGGTTCAAGAAGTAAGTTTCACAGAAGAAGGTGGAAGGAAGCATAGCTAATCAACAGTTTCTCTAAAAAGGTAGGCGGTAGATTACCATGCATAGTCAGCCTTAAAAGAGTCAACAATACAATATAGCAGCCAAAAACAAAAAAAAAATACTGCTATCTTAGGATTTATTGAGACAGGTAATGCTCAGATCTAAGGAGGTGATATTCCTGTTACAGTCTGCCTTAGCCAAACCGTATTCATAGTCTTGTGTTGAGTTCTGGGTGCCACATTTTAGGAAAAACATTGATGAAGAGCATCCAGAGGAGGGCAACAAGAATGAGAACAAAAACTGGGAATATTTAGACTGGAAAAAAGAAGACTGAGGTGGACATGATATCTGAAGGGCTACCTTTGGAAGTTGAATTAGATTTGTGCTTTGTAGAATGCTAGACATCAAGTGTATTCTTTTTTTTCATTAATTTATTTTGATTTAGAGAGATATAACACAACAGAAGAAAAAAATAGCAAATAGTATGCTTCGATCTGCATTCAAACTCCATAGTTCTTTCTTCTTTGTGGATGACATTTTCCATCATGAGGCCTTTGGAGATATCTTAGATCCTTGTATTACTGAGAAGGGCTAAGTCTATCAATATTAGTCATCACACAACATGTCTGTTACTGTGTACAACGTTCTCCTGGTTCTGCTCATTTCACTCAGGATCAGATCATACAAGTCTTTCTAGGTTTTTCTGAAGTCAGCCTGTTCATCATTTCTCATAGCACAATAGTATTCCATTACATTCATATACCACAACTTGTTCAGCCATTCCCCAACTGATGGGCGTCCTCTCAATTTCCAATTCTTTGCCACCACAAAAAGAGCTGCTACAAATATTTTTGTACATGTAAGTCCTTTTCCCATTTGTATGATCTCTCTGGGATATAGCCCTAGAAGTGTTATTGCTGGGTCAAAGGGTATGCACATTTTTATAGCCCTTTGGACATAGTTCCAAATTGCTCTCCAAAATGGTTGGATCATTTCACAACTCCACCAACAATGCATTAGTGTTACCATTTTCCCACATCTTATCCAACATTTGTCATTTTGCTGTTTTGTCATCTTGGCCAATCTGATAGGTGTGATGTGGTACCTCAGAGTTGTTTTGATTTGCATTTCTCTAATCAATAGTGATTTAGAGCATTTTTTCATATGACTATAGATGGCTTTAATTTCTTCATCTGAGAACTGCCGGTTCATATTCTTTGACCATTTGTCAATTGGGGAATGACTTGTATTCTTATAAATTTGACTTAATTCTCTATACATTTTAGAAATGAGGCACTTATCAGAGAGGCAGGTTGTAAAAATTCTTTCCCAATTTTCTATCTTCCTTCTAATCTTAATTGCATTGGCTTTGTTTGTGCAAAAACTTTTGAATTTAATGTAATCAAAGTTATCCATTTTGCTTTTTGTAATGTTCTCTATCTTCTGTTTGGTCATGAATTCTTCTGTTCACCATAAATCTGATAGGTAAACTATTCCCTGCTCTCCCAGTTTGCTTATAGTATCAACCTTTATATCTAAATCATGAACCCATTTTGACTTTATTTTGCCATATGGTGTGAGATTTTGATCTATGCCTAGTTTCTGTCATACCCTTTTCCAGTTTTCCCAACAGTTTTTGTCAAAGAGTGGGTTCTTATCCCGGAAGCTATGGTCTTTGAGTTTATCAAGTAATAGATTACTATAGTCATTGACTACTGTTTCTTATACACTTAACCTATTACACTGGTCTACCATTCTATTTCTCAGCCAGTACCAAGCAGTTTTGATGATTGCTGCTATTTATAATACAATTTAAGATCTGGAATGGCTAGGCCACTTTCCCCTGCATTTCTTTTCATTAATTCTCTTGATATTCTGGACCTTTTGTTCTTCCAAATGAATCATTATTATTTTTTCTAACTCTATAAAATAATTTTTGGTAGTTTGATTGGTGTGGCCCTGAACAAGTAAATTAGCTAAGGTAGAATTGTCATTTTTATTACATTAGCTCAGTCTACACATGAGCAACTGATGTTTTTCCAGTTATTGAGATCTGACTTTATTTGTGTGAAAAGTGTTTTCTAATTGTGTTCATAGAATTCCTGGGTTTGTTTCAGTAGGTAGACTCCTAAATATTTTATAATGTCTACAGGAAGTTTAAATAGAATTTCTCTTTCTATCTCTTGCTGTTGGGCTTTATTAGTAACATATAGAAATGCTAATGATTTATGTGGGTTTATTTTATAGCCTGCAACTTTGATAAAGGTGTTTATTATTTCAAGTAGTTTTTCACTTGATTTTCTAGGGTTCTCTAAGTATGTCATCATGTCATCTGCAAAGAGTGATACCTTTGTTTCTTCTTTGCCTATTCTAATACTTTTGATTTCTTTTTCTTTTCATATTGCTAAAGTTAACATTTCCAGTACGATATTGAACAACAGTGGTGATAATGGACATCCTTGTTTCATACCTGACTTTATTGGAAATGTTTCTAGCTTGTCCCCATTCCATATAATGCTTGCTGAAGGTTTTAGGTAGATGCTATTTATTGTTTTAAGGAAGACTCCATTTATACCTGTGCTCTCTCTAGTGTTTTTAATAGGAATGGGAATTGTATTTTGTCAAAAGCTTTTTCTGCATCTATTGAGATGATCATGTGGGTTCTGTTAGTTTTTGTGTTGATATGATCAATTATGGTGATAATTTTCCTAATATTGAACCAGTCCTGCATTCCTGATATAAATACTACCTGGTCATAGTGTATTATTCTTGTGATAAGTTGCTGTAATATATTTGCTAATATTTTATTTAAAATTTTTTGCATCTCCATTCATTAGAGAAATTGGTCTATAATTTTCTTTCTCTATTTTGACTCTTCCTGGTTTAGGTATCAGCACCATATTTGTATCATAAAAAGAATTGGGTAAGACCCCTTCTTCACCTATTTTCCCAAATAGTCTATATAGTACTGGAATTAATTGTTCTTTAAATGTTTGATAGAATTCTCATGTAAATCCTTCTGGCCCTGGAGATTTTTTCCTAAGGAGTTCATCAAGGGCTTGTTCAATTTCTTTTTCTGAGATGGAGTTATTTAAGTATTTTATTTCCTCTTCTGTTAATCTGGGCAGTTTATATTTTTATAAATATGTATCCATTTCACTAAGATTGTCAATTTTATTGGCATAGAGTTGGGCAAAATAATTCCTAATTACTGTTTTAATTTCCTCTTCCTTGGTGGTAGATTCACACTTTTCATTCTTGATACTAATAATTTGGTTTTCTTTTTTCTTTTTTTAATTAGATTAACCAAAGGTTTTCTATTTTATTGTTTTTTTTCATAAAACCAGCTCTTAGTTTAATTTATTCATTCAATAGTTTTCTTAATTTCAATTTTCTTAATTTTTCTTTTGGTTTTCAATATTTCTAATTTGGTGTTTAATTGAGGATTTTTAATTTGTTCTTTTTGTAGTTGGTTTTAGTTGTATGCCCAATTCATTGATCTCCTCTTTTTCTATTTTATTCATGCAAGGGTTTAGAGATATAAAACTTCCCCTAAGAACTGCTTTTGCTGCATCCCATAAGTTTTGGTATGTTGTCTCACTATTGTCATTCTCTTGAATGAAGCTATTGATTGTTTCTATGATTTGTTGTTTGACCCCATCATTTTTTAGGATTTCATGATTTAGTATCCAATTATTTTTAATCTATCTTTCCATGGCCCTTTATTACATATAATTTTTATTGCATCATGATCTGAAAAGGATGCATTTAATATTTCTGCTTTTCTGCATTGGATTGTGAGGTTTTTATGACCTAGTACATGGTCAATTTTTGTGTATGTGCCATGTACCACTGATTTCTTTCTATCCCCATTCAGTTTTCTCCACAGGTCTATCATACCTAACTTTTCTAATATTCTATTCACCTCCTTAACTTCTTTCTTGTTTATTTTGTGGTTAGATTTCTCTAGTTCAGAGAGGGGAAGGTTGAGGTCTCCCAGTAGTATAGTTTTGCTGTCTATTTCTTCCTATAACTCCCTGAACTTCTCCTCTAAGAATTTGGATGCTAACCATTTGGTGCATATATGTTCAGTAATGATATTACTTCATTGTCTATAGTGCCTTTTAGCAGGATGTAGTTTCCTTCCTTATCTCTTTTGATAAGATCTATTTTTGCTTTTGCTTTGTCTGAGATCAGGATTGCTACCCCTACTTATTTTACTTCAGCTAAGCATGATATATTCTGCTCCAGCCTTTTATCATTACCCTGTATGTGTCACTCTTTTTCAAATGTGTTTCCTGTAAACAATATATTGTAGGATTCTGGTTTTTAATCCATTCTGCTATCTGCTTCCATTTTATGGGAGAGTTCGTCCCA